AAAAATTTGAGAGAAAATTTCATAATTTGCTCTTTCTTTTTCCCCACCATCCTAGACCTAACTTACCACCACGCCTCCCCCTCCTAGACCGACTTCTCTCCACCTGTCCCTCCCTCATCTCTTCCACCCGCCCACCCTATTAAGCCGCCGTCTCTCCTCTCCATCGGCCTCCCAACCGGCGCCCCCTTCAAGTTGCCGTCACCAAAAGAGATTCATTGGTCATGGATGGTGGATCCGGAAGTTGATCACGGATTTGCTTTCAATTCTCAAGGGCATATTGACGTTATCGAATCACCCTTCTTCGACATTGGATTTGGATCCGAAAGCACCGTCGAGGAATACGTCGATCATATTCTCTTCCATTTAGCGGACGTCATTGATGAACAAAGACCTACTGGTGAGTGGAAGATCAATGGGCGCCCACCCGTTTTTCCAAATCCGACTCCTTCCCCGGCGACTAGCATCATCGGCATCGCGTGTATTCTAGTGGTGTCTCTAAGTTTGCTTGCAACATTCTTCCGCTAAACAACTATAGTCATGAGTGTGAGTGAGGGATCTCCAGGTGAACGATCTAATTGTTAAACTGTGGACTCTTGTTAATTTTGCCATAAGCTTTATTTATTTATGTGTTTATTATTTTGCAAGTATCCTAATAATCTCCATAGTAAGTGATTGCTATTACTTAATCGTCTCACAGATTGTTCTAAGGTTTAACTTGAAGAAACATTAGTTTAAATTTAGCAAAGCAAAGTTCATATTTTGATTAATTTACGTCACGCAATTCTTATTAGTCACTTTGTTTCAGATCAATAGCACTGGTGGCCCAAGTGAACTTTTAATGAGAAAAGTGGGTGTTACGTTAAGTAGTCGATAACCAGCATAAAATTTATTAAAGAATCATGACTTGAATCGTCAGTTCATTTTATTAGTGTTTGGACATTTTCTGAAAGCGACACAATATATGGTTTGAATACGGCGAAATATGTGCAAGGGTAGTTGCACCGACGCCCCAGATGCAGTGTTAAATAAATATAGGTTCCCACATCATGGATGGATGAGAGCATAGAAGCTAGCTCATGAAACTAGAATTATGATATGAACTTTGAATATTTATTTAATTATATGCAAATTAATGAAATTAATAGATATTATGATTCATAAGAAGATAAATATTCTATGCATCTAGAAAACTAAATGAGTTGAAGAAAAGACTAAGAATATTGATAGATTAGGTTTTAAAGTATGATATTAAGGTAGGAGTGTACTAGAAATGATATAGGTGTAATTATAAACAAGAGTTTGAAATAAAATGTTATATAAATTAATAGAATTGGAGATGAAATTATAGCTTTAAAGATTGTTATTTATGCTAAGATTATTAATATTATAAGTGCTTATCTTCTTCAAATAAGTTTGGATATGTGTTTAAAATTACAATTTTGAAATAGCTTAGAAAAATTAATACAAATGATACATATTAAATAAATAATTTTTATAGTAGGAGATTTAAATCAATATGTTTATAGAATGATAGAAAATTTTAAAAGTATTAATGGTGGCTATGGACTTGGAATAACTAATAAAGGTGATAGGACCATATTAGATTTTACACTAGCATATGATTTTGTAATTGATAATAACTTATTTAAGAAAAGAAAGGAGTATCTCATCACTTATAAGAATGGATATGATAAAACTCAAATTAATTATTTTTTACAAGAAAAAAAAAAGATCGTTTAGATTATAAAGATTGTAAAATCATTTTAAATAAAATTTTATGTATTTAGCATCATTAATTAATTTTGGACTTTAAATTGAAAGGGTGAAATATGAAAAATAAAATAAAATGTCATACTACAATTAGATGAGGGCATATAAAAATACTAATACAAATATTTTTAAGAGTAAAATTCAATATCTTAATATTGGAGTTGTTCATGAGAAAATTAATATTATGTGGAAAAAAATAGCTAGTAATATTAATAATGTTGAAAAGTGCTTTTCTAAGAAGATATTCATCATATGTTGATGAGATATTTCAATAAACTTTTCTACGAAGATTATGAGAATATGATTGACTTTAGTAACTTTAGCATCCTAAATGAAAATATTTTTTTTTATTTTTATCATCGTATTAATAAAATTGAAGTTGGAGAGGTTTTAAAAAAAAATGAAAAGTGAAAAAGCTGTGGGACTTGATAATATTTCAATAAATGTGTGAAAATACTTAGGAGATCAAAAAATACCTTGGCTTACTAAACTTTTCAATATCATTTTGACGGCTAAAAAGATACAAGATGAGTGGGAAAAGAGTGTATTGGTTCCTATTTTAAAGAATAAAGATGATACACAAGACTGTGTGAATTATAGAGTAATTAAGTTAATGAGTCATACATTAAAACTATGAGAGAGTAATTAAGCATAGGTTATGACATGATACTAATATTTCTCAAAATTAGTTTGGATTCATGCCTAGTAGGCCTACTATGAAAGCTATACATTTTTTTAGAGGTTTGATGGAATAGTATAGAGAGTAAAGAGGATTTACATGTGATATTGATTGATGTAGATAATGCATTGTTAACCTGTATACTAAATCCAGAGGAAACAACAAAAAAAGAGAGAAGTTCAAAATCATACATTGCCCATCGGATCCTCAATTCCAGCCGAAATCATGCAGAAATCTCGCTTCGTACCTCGTATTCGTCGAAGAAATCGGGCAGAATTTTCGGAGCCCACATGCATATGATAAAGTTTCAAGAGAAGTTCTCTGGATAATTCTAAAAAGAAAGGAGTTAATAATGCTTATATTTGAGTCATTAAGGATATGTATAAAGGAGTTGTTACTTGTGTTCAAACAAAAGGTGGTTTAACCAAATATTTTAGTATTTCAATTGAATTACATCAAAGATTCGCTTTATGCTCATATCTTTTCATGTAGTCATGGATGCTCCTACTAAATATTTGCAAAAGGATGTATCCTAGTTTATGTTTTTTGCTGGTGAAACTCTGCTTGTTGATAAAACTAGAGATGGAGTTGAAATAAAACTTGAATTATGGAGGTCAACCTTAAAGTTTAAACATTTTCATTTTAGTAGATCTAAACCAAATTGGAGTATAATTTTAGTAGTAATAGATCTAATAGTGGGATTGCGACATTGGGTGATCAAGACATTAAAAAGAGTGCACATTTTAGATATTTTTGATCGATGGTGAAATAGATAAGAACATTATTAGAAGAATTCAAGTTGGATGATTGAAGTGGACTAATACATTGATCCTATCGTGAGATAAAAAATTACCCCCGCAAACTTAAGGGATAATTTTATAAGATTGCAATACTAGCTTAGAATGTTGGCCATAAAAGAGAAGCATAAAATTAAATTAAGTACTATTGCAGAGATGAGAACGCTCAAGTAGATGAGTAGTTTTACACCTAGAGACTGAATGCGATATGAGTATATACGTCAAAAGGTTATATTAGCTCCAATGACAGATAAGATTAGAGAGAGTTGCCTTAGATGGTTTGGTCAAATAAAACGTCGGCTTTCCAATGACCTGTTTAAGAGAGTAGATGTATAAGGTTTCACTTATGTTAAGAAATGTAGAGGTATACCTAGAAAAACATTGTTATAAAGTATTAGATATGACCTTTTTTTTATATTTAAATGAGAATTTGACTTTTAATAGGACAAAATGAATAAAAAGGATTCATGCAGCCGACCCCATATGGTGAGATAATAGCTTAATATTGTTGTTGTTGTTCTTGGATTTTGACCTTGATGAGAAAATTCTATTAAAAGGAGTTTATTAGACCCGCATCAACTAGATTTTCCATGAAGTACTTTGCAAAGTATATATCCTAGAGGCAAGTCAAACTTTGAAGGATATGTTCCCTTAGGCAAAATGGTTAAGTTGTACATGGGTAAAAAAATATGAAGAGAATGAAGTGAGAAAGATTACTTTAAATGAGAGCTTTTGGCTAAGTATAAATTATGCTATCACAACTACAAAGCGCTTGATTCATCTCTTGCAAATGGCTGATGCATTGAAAAAACCAGTAATGAGTTATATTTATAATGTTGTGGACAAGCCAAAATAGTTGATAACAAAAGGCTTACTTGGAGATGAGAAAAGCTACAAGAAAATTTGGGAGATCATAAATAAGAAATGAGAGTTTCAATTCATTGATATTTAAATGCAATCAGAAATTATCCAAACCTTTAGTATCAATATGACGAGAACAAAATACACCAATCCAGAGATTAAAATTGGTTTATACTATTATATGGATAGAATGATTGTTGATTCAACACAGAGAGAAAAGATTGGTCACCAATTATAGCTTTTAAAAATAATAAAGTCTTCTTTGTGTTGCAACAAGCTACAGACACTATAGTTATTGTTTTAAATAAAAGTCTTATATGATTTCATTAATTAGGTAAGGCGAAACCGAGTAAGATTGAAAATGATGAAGAATATTTGAAGCATTTTGGTACAAGTGAGAAAGAGGGTGGCAAGAAGGAAATCAACCAGATAATGCTACTAATGAAGACCCTCTTGAGTGATGGGAGTGAGAGAGACCTTTGAAATCAAAGTCCTAAATCATAACCTATTTTAAGAAATGTTTACTTGTTTATTTATGACCTATTGTTAATGCTTACATGTTTATCTTAGACTTCATGCTTATTATTGAGAGTTTGTACAATTTTTCATCATATTATGTTATGACATAAAATTATTACTCTTAATTATTTTATTTCTTATATTTGAAATGTATTTAATGATTTTCCTTTGAGGTTTATGATATAAAATTCCTTGAAGCATATGTCACATCTCAAGAAGAAAATTCCTCAATACCCAATTATGCAATTTTAAAGCATGCTTATGGGTAATGTAAAAGGTTAAAATAACAAATGCATAAGAATAAACAAGGATTTAGGGAAGTTCTCTTATATGGCATTGAAAAAGCATAAAGATAAGTATTCATAGATTGATACCTGTCCAAACTGTTCCTCCGGCAACCAAAAAGTAAAGTTCATTGAATAAGGTAAATTTGTACCTGCAATTGTTAGAAAGGTCACATTTAGCATAAAATTTGAAATTGATAGAATCCCGACAACGGTAAAAAAGAAATCCATAGTATACATCATCAAGTTTTCAAGTAAACTTTCTCTTTCATGAACTTTAAAATAGCAACAAAGGCAGGAAAAGAACAATAAGATTCTAAGAACCATATGCATGTGGGTCAGCATTCAAAAGCTATAATATTGAAGAAATTAAGGTCTAAAAATAAGATAATTACCATTCCGGAAGCCTAACATCCTTCAGAATAGGATTTTGCCACTTTTCAATTTCTTCCTCCCACCATTTATATTCTGACAGATAATTTTACATAGATCAGATTATCATACATTAGGAAGGAAATCTACAGTATACAAGCTTTATAAGAATGCTAAGAAGACTAATATAAAGCAATTTCATAGGATTGTTTAAATTTCAATTGACAATAGAGTAAAATACTCGAGTACCACTTACTCTTTAATGCGTCATGCACCAAATCAACAGCAGATCTCTCAGAGGTTCCATAAAATCTTGTGTATTGCCTGACATATAGACAAAATATGGAGTAAGCAAGTCCAAACACCAAACACAAAACTGAAATGTTGCGAGCAAGTGTTCATGTGTTAATACAAGTTTCATATTTGAAGTTAAACCCCAATTAACGTGATCATGATGAGAATTAAGGATTTCGATAGCACAATGCATAAAAGAAACAGGAAAGAAATTGCTTATAGCATTAATAAATCTGATAGTGCGGTTCATACTGAACTGCCAAGATGGGGCCTACGGTACCAAAAGCGGCCCAAACCGCCTCACCATAGGGTGGGACCCACTTTGGCGGCAAAAAGAGGAGATAGAGAGAGAGAGGGAGGCGGCAAGCCAATAGGGAAAGTGGATTTAAATAATTAAAAAGATTTGATATCTTTTACATAAGGAAAGTGGATTTAATTAATTAAAAAGATTTGATATCTTTTATATTAAATAAATAATATCTTATATTAGGAAGTTTTTAAGGAGGTGGAGAGGGCTATTTAAAGAAATGAGGGGGTTATGGCTGGGCATGCTTGTATTGTTTGTTCTCTTGGAGTTATTTGGTGTTTTTGGCTCTAGACTCTTGTCTAGAGATTTTGAGAGAGACGATCCTCCTCTCAAATTGAGGATCAATTGTATCTTTGCTTTATGTTTGATTTGCTTTGATTTCTCTAATAAAAATCTGCTATTTGGAGCATATTTTCTTGAAGTTCTCATATTATTCTCGCTGATTTTTCACCGATTATTGCTAGGGTTGCTTGTGAACTCAAATATTTTCAATAGGATTACTTGCGAACTCAAGTATTTCTTATCAGAATCTTCTGGAGAAATTATAGATACTTAAGGCCAATGCATAATGTCATCAGGGTAATTTTACACCATGTAAAACCACTCCTCATCAGTACATTAAAACAATACTAGTTATATAACTTACCTTGAAAAAAAGTTCAACACTTATTGCATTGAATTATCAACAAGAAAGAATCATATCCAAAGAAGTACTACAGCAGAACTAAGATTATCAAACTTCAAAACAAACATTACCTATGATATGTGCATCCCTTCTGAAATTTTACTTTAGGTGATGCCCAAGACAAAGCAAATGCGACAGTGCATTTCCCATGAGGTTCAACCCAAGTAGACGCTGAAACTGCTGCACATGGTGTATCACCGGGCGAAGAAGGCATGCTAGGACCAGAATTAAAGTTTTGCCGCTCAAAATGTCCATCCTTAAAAGGGCACATCAACACTTGGTGAATATTTTCATTACTGTGATCAAAGCATTAAAGCAATAAACCTTAGAGCATTATACCTGCACCATGGCAGCCCACATGTCCCTGGCTGTAACACAGTTCTCACCAGAGAGCCCAAAACTCGGCAAAACAGTGACATTTACATTTTGAGTTTCGGATGCAGCTATTGCAAAAGTTACAGGGGGGTTATCTTTAGCAGTCCTGAAGAATAAAGTGTTCAAAAACATCATAAATAAATTCAGACACATAAGCAATAACGGATCAGTATAAGGCATTCTAAATAACAAATTATCTCTATTATATCTAAATTTGAGACAGAAATGCTTTGATAGGAACAACTATTCCAGCATATGTAGGAATTTGCCAATATGAGGATAGAAACCAGAATATTCAAAGGACAAGTTTGGTGTGGACAAAATGAAGTGAGGTGGACCCTAGACTTTCCATGACCTAGGAGAAAATCTGCTAACCAACCGTCATAAAAGAGCAATCAAGGGTTGACAACTTGCTTGTGATGTAGGAGCACACCGGATACTCCATCATCTCCTCTGCAGATAGAACAGGAAACGTGTTCAGATCAAAAAGAAGATACAGCAGTCAATTTCATTCAGTAATTACATTTGAAATGAAGAATACTAACATGAATGGTTCATTGACATGGCCCCCAGTCTGGTGAGAAACTCCCCCGATAGAATTCTGTATCAATGACAACAATGACAACAGACAATCAATTTTCTATAAATGAAAGAAAATAATTTGCTCCCCCATTAGCAGCCATGTATTTAAATATATCGCCCATCCTAAGTCTTATATTTACATTTTTTTTTTCAATAGGTACGCCATTGTTAGTTATGCTGGGAAATCTGTTTGAAAATCTTTGTGAAGTGCTGGAATACTCATCCTCATTATAAGACTGGTTCCAAAAATTGAAGATGACCAGAATCTTATACAAAATACAGAGAATCAATTCATGAACTACATTTCACTTCTCTTTAAGAAATTTAAATAGAGAAGTTTTTTTTTTTTAAATTATTGAAGATTTTGTATGTCAATGCATGCCATATTCGTAGGTCAACATCATCAAGATCCACATATCCATTGATATGGCTAAACAAAATAAGTATTAAAGTATTGAAAATTTGTAGTTCAATATGTGCCATATTAGGAGGTCCACACCTAGATATCTATAGTTCGTGTGCTGAATATCTTGTTAAGTAGCACATAAGATGACTATTTCTTCACCTACCGTCCAAGTCATGAGCAAGCTGACCTTCGCCCTTTCCCTCCCAGTATTCACCAGCTACAAAAGCAGAAAAGAACGTTAGCAAATCAAAAGAAAGCAATGGTGTTCGTAAGCAGTCACTTCTACGGTCATAAAGAAATAATATTTGACAGCTGAAATCACCAATTAAACGGCTCTCAAAGATAAAAAAATTTGGATTCATTCCCTCAAAATAACAATACAAGAATATAACAGCCCATACGCAATTGAAAAAGAAATTAGCACAAGTAAATGAGAAATAATCAGCATAAGCACAAATGAGGCCGAGAAGAATTCCATGGATCATGAAGACCAATCAAAACTCCAATGGGGCACCAAGAGTCCAAGACGACATTTTCAATCAAGCCCCTGAACCAACACCCAGACAGCCAAAAACATTAAAAAACTAGCAAGCTAAGAGAACCAATCACAAGCAATGCACCATGACAATAGCTCAGCTGACAAGGAGAAGTAGATGGATAAATTTGATATGGGCAAATGTTCATTCAAGCCATAATAAAAAAAAAAAAAGAACCCGTATGAAATTCACCTCATTGGATTTTGGAGCATGACTGTCGTTTTAGGCAACTTAGCTGGTAGTTATTTTTTTCATCTACCCTTCCTATAGTAAACAAATTTATCGTGTTCATCATTGTAATAGAAATTAATCCAATAATTGGAGGCCACCTAAAGACAAAGAACTATCCTCCACACCGGATTTGCAACCATATTAGAATCCATCTCAATTCTAAAGTATATAAATCACTCCAACCAAATGATTTAGAAGATGGATGATAAGAGGAGTACAACAACAACAAGCCTTTATCACACAACATGGGTTCGGCTACATGAATAATTTCTCTCCGTTATGTACTATCAAGAATCGAATTCTCATTTAAATCTAATAATAAAAAAGCAATTTTTAATATTTTTTTAACCAGTTATTTTAGGTCTACCTCTATATTTCTTAACGGGAAAAGGACCAAAACAATCCATTGACTCCTTATGAAGGACCAAAATGGTCCCCAATTATATTAAAGGTTTATTTTGATATCTCGAGTCTTTAAAAATGAATCAAAATTTTCTCATCATGGGATTATTTTGATTTATTTTTAAAGACTTGAGAGACCAAAATGATCATTTAATATAGTTGGGACCATGTTGGTCCTTCATAAAGACACAAGGGGCTATTTTGTTCCTTTCTCATTTCTAAGCATAGACACAAGTAAAACATTATCAATTAGAAAAATGATGATAAGAGGAGTGATTGAAACATTAACAATAGGAACAAGAAAGGTGAGTTCCCTGCCACCAAGTAATTGCAAGAATTAAAATCTAACAGAGATGGAGCATCACATGTATTAAACCCATCATAGCAAACTGAAGAGGGCAAGATAAAAAATGTACTAAGGACATGAAGATCCACGAGAGAAGCAGAGTGATTAGGATTGGATAAAGAAACCAATTAAATCTCGGTGTTAATCTCAATAGTGAGAGGACAGGCTCATGGCTATATGCTCATCAGTTCACTCTTAATTCTCTTGGATTAATACAGATTCTTCTTTTGAGTTCAGTTACTTTGCTTGTGTGGTCGTGTGTGTGAGCAGCATAAGCAAAATTGATACGTTATGAAATAGAGCAAGAAAACACATGTTTGCATGCATTTGTAAACCATAGAGTCAATATGATAACTTGAAGATGCAAAGCTGACGAAGTTTTCAAATACTAATATTAAGCTACTATTCGAAGTATGTCTTTTAAAAATCCAAGTCTGGTGACTTGCCGCAGCCAACATCAACTATTTCGTATTTCATTTCAATTTTTTTTATAAAAGGTGAGGTATAACGTGGTGTTTAGTCCATAGGTTTAAATGCAAGAAAATTTCACGGTAGAAGCATCAAAATAAATAAACAGAGAGAAATTAAGGAACAATCTGTTAGGCCGGTTCAGGTGAGGCGGGTTAATGCTGTCTCCTCTATTGTTGCCGCCCCAAGCAATAGGGTCCACGCCGCATCTATGGTTGCCGCCCAAAGCATTGGGGCCCACTATTTGAATTGATCTAATTTTAGCAAGGGGAGGGGCAGCTAAGGCATGTGAGGAAATTTTTAATTAGAAAATTAAGGCTTTAAATAGGCATGAGATGTGAGGGTTAGGACATTCATGATTATTGTTTTCTCATGGAGTTCTCTTTGTGGCTTTGGGCTGTAGATTCATCATCTAAAGATTAGGAGAAAATGATCCTCCTCTAGAATTGAGGATCAATTGTATCTTTAATTGTTCTTGCTTTTGGTTTGATTCCTATAATACAATCTATTATTTTTGGATTGTTTTCATTGGAGATCTTGAAATTTTCTCGCTGTTTTCACCAATTATTGTCAGGTTTGCTTGCAAACTAAAGTATTTCCCATTATGTTACTTGCGAATTCAAGTATTTCCTATCACAATCTGAAAATAACTGCATTTATTTTTGTCAAATACTCCAAATTATAGAAAATAAAAAATTTAAAAAGGTACGTGCTAAAAAAAGGAGCTACGGTAAAGAACCAAAGATGATATATGAGAATATAAGGAATGGACTTACAGTATATACAAATACACACGCAGGAAGACTACTTTCCCGATAATCATGAGGTATGAATGGTGATATTTGGCGGCATGAGATTTTAAGGTCTGGATCAGGTTCACCTGTGTAAAACCAAAAAGACAATTACATAAGCAAACTTCCACCCTACACAAAGTTCAAAAGTTAAAGTCAAAAGCCTACCATCATAGACAGTCCATGCCCGAGGAAACAAAGCATGATATGTGGAATGCTGACCACCAAGGTTCCAGTCCCATGATGAAATTCCTTGATCCCCAACTTTCCTGTAGTAAATTAAAAAAATGAATGGACTGTAATTTGCTAAAAGCACAATCAAAAGAAGTAACAAGAAAATGGATCTAATTCAGCTATTTCACATTAAGATGTTTAAATAGTTCTTAATTGAGAAAAAATGAGAATATAATTTTGCTCCTACAACATATCAATTAGTAGCCATATTATATCAAGGAGGCTTTCTGCTTTCAGAATAGAAAAGGTAGATAAAATATTGTTGCTTAGTATGAAATTACAACAAAAGTCATTTTCCATTAACTTCTATTGGACACGACAACTTATCACCATCAGTACATATCCATCCATACATTTTTTCTTCCTCCTGCACTTTCAAATCCTTTCAAAAGCTACAGTTGGTAACGGTTGCACCAAACAAGTTTAAGGAAATATTGCAAATCCTGAAACAATAACCAGAAAGAAACTCTCTCATGACACGTCCAGGGCATGCCATTTAGAATCGAAAAGTTATAGTATCAGAGAAGACATGTTTCCTATGCAGCTAGCAGTAGCAATCTAGCTGCCCAGGGCCTCCTTTATCACTTGGAGAATAGGCTTTGGAAGGAAACTCTTTGGGAAAGGGAGGAACTCTTTGGGAAAGATGTAAGGGGCATTTATTATGGGATTGGAGCTGTTTAAGGGAGGAGATTAAGGAGAGTTAGGGTTTTTATGTTATGTTTTGAAATTTTTTTTATGTTATGTTTTGAATTTTTGAAGGCAGTTTTTTTGAGGTGTTTGGGTTCTTAGAGCTGCTAGGAATTGTGGGAGAGATGATTCACCTCTCGGACAGTGAATCAACTTGTATCTTGTCTTGCTTTGATTGAAAAAATTAGTAAAAATAGCTCTCTGTGTTATTTATGAATCTATTTGGAATAAGTTATTTTTTTTATATTGTTGTGTGCTGTTTTGATCATCAAGTCTTATCAGTTTCCACTATTATGCTTCACAAAGTACCAATGTCTCACAATGAACTGAACTGAAACATAGAAAACATAGAAACACTGATCAATAAGTTCGTTGTAACACTGAAGTATTTCACCAGTCCATTCCAACAACCTACGTAGGTGACACATGAAGATTGTTCTAAGTCATAAAAATGAAGAAAGATAAGGTACAAAAACAAGGCCATAGCTGCATTGTTACTTTTCCTGCAATGCTTCGCAACAATGGAAATGTTATACATGCAATTTATCTAAAATCATTCAAAACTTTAAGCACCATGAACAGGAGCTGAACAAAACAAATGAGTAGATGGAACATTAAATGAGCGTAAAAAGAATTCATCTTACTTTATGCCTTCATGGTGTCCTGGGGCTAATACAGATGAGAATTTCTTGTTTCCTCCATCCCTAGAAATGAAAATCTGTTGGAAAGCAGAAAAATCATAGAACAAGTCACTCAAATACTAGAAAAAAAGTACAGCCCCTAACTAATTTTTGCAAACAAAAAGATGGTCTTAACTAAGAACACTATACAATAATCTCCACCATACAGTGAAAAGAGCAGCAATCCCTGAAGTTACTTCTTATAACAAGCATGAATCTATTAGCGTTACACATCCACGCAACATTTCATACATGTAGCCCACTAAAAATTGTCACAACGAGTAAACGATCAAAATGGACCTTAAATTTTTTGTAAGCGTTCATTTAACTCGCCCATTTTTTTCAAATATTTAATTCAATCCTTAACTATCAAATTTGAATTAATTTGGTCATTCAATCAATTTAATGTTTTCTTCAAACAAAAATCGATGAAGAGAAGCATTTCATGAGGGAGTTTTTAATTTTTTAGGGTCGATGTCAATACTTTGAGCTAGTATTAAGTAATAACATTCAAAAACGTCTAACAATTTTCATCCAAAAGAAATGGGTTGGTAGTATGACAGAATTGGTTCAGGTTTGGTGAATTAAGGAATTAAATTGGACACTTGAAATACTATGGAAAACTAAAAGGGCATACCTAAAAAGTCTAGGGGTCATTTTGAACATTTAAACTTATAAAAAATTATCTTTTGCCACAAATCCCTTTTCTTTATTGATAATATCACCTTGATCATTCATTGAATATGCATAAAAAAAAGAGGAGGATTAGCTAGAATAGAAATCAAATTTATTTCGTAGATGTAACAAATCAAAAATAATCTAAATAATATAAAAAAGTTCAAAACATTGAAGATGGATGTTCCAGGTGATTTGAAAGTTTCTTATGCTGATAAAACCAATCTTTTTTGCATCCAATCTGAAGTACCCACCATGAAGACTTCAAAATATCCAATGGTTTGTCAAATGATCTAAAAAATATGTATGAAATCATGTGGCTCAAGTTTTAAGGTATTTAAAATATGGTGCTTCCGGATCTTGCTATTATGGCAACTAGCGGAGGCGAAGAATCACATATATACATAAATAAATGACATAGACTGTTTTACTTTTATATGAATAGGAACACATTTTTAAAGGAGGTTCACTTTGGACCTTTTTCTTGTGCAACAATCAAAAAACCAAATGGCAAATCAAAACTACATCTTTACCCTCTATATCACCAGCAGCAAAATTTGCCTTAAGTAATTATTCCAATGTGTAATCTTAAATAGCTAGAGGTCTTATGAAGCTTTTTTTGGCGGCAAGTGAGATTTAGCAAATCCAAATATATTATTTTTTACCGGCTTGCCTTCTTCTTCATTTACCCTTTTCATTTCTCCTCCAATTCTGGTTGGTGGAAGGTGTTCAAAGGTTGGAGATGCATAATACGTAAGAAAATAAAAAAGTTCAAAATCAGTTAACACCGAAAAATTTTGTGAGAAGGATATAGGATTAGCTGATGTTAAGGTAATTGTAAACTAATATATGATGAGTTTAAACTATTATAGGATGAGGGCAAAATAATGCAAAGGTAAAAATATGACAATTACACTGATAGTTCATTAAATTACTTATGAGCAAATGATGATAAACACGCAACTGCTATAGAGCACGGATAAAATAATAAAATATAATAGGGGTGAGATGATTTAAGTTCTAATTACATTAACCATGCTAAATTTCTAACATTTAGAAAATAAAGAAGAAATAAAAGCTATAGATGATATAGCCAATAGAATAATCTATCATCACAGATATCTCGTTCAAAATAAATAGCTAATAGTATTTTTCAATTCATTTTCTATTAAGAATAAAATACAACAAGTTATGTGATGACAGCATTTTTTTGTTAATATCAAGTACCAATAGAGGAAGAAAGCTGTTGACAGACATATAAGGGTAAAGAATTACAGAAAATTGATTCGCCATGACCGGTGACATATCACATAAACCAGGAAGAATTTGCCAATGCTTAAACTCCCCTCTAAAACCCCGTGATATGCTTCCACTTCTGCATAAACATAAAAAGTTCATGAGAACCAAATTGCTACATCTCAGGCAGCTGTCTCATATAACATACCCCATCCCTCCAAGAGGAACCCCTTGGGAAGCTGAGGGTTTGCAACTTTCCCTGGTGAACGGATCTATTGGAGCTTTCTGTAAAATGTGAGAGTTCATCAAGCATCAGAGACAGTAAAAAAATTTAAATAATTTGAAAACCAAACATCATTGACCATGGATTTAGGGTTTACAAAGTGGTGTCAATATTATCTACTAAATATAGCATGGGAACAGCATAAATTAACTCATTACCCTTCCATGAGAAGCCTCTTCACGGACATATGACCAAAGACGAAGGCCTAGAGTCATCTGAATTCCAAAAAAAAAAAGTATTTTTTTGCAGTAATAGTTAATATCTGTTAAAAGATTAAAAAAAAAAACTATCTAAAAAAACAAGACAATAAGTTTAGTTTGAAAGAAAGGAGTGCACCATTTTCATAGCTTCAATAAAGGTCACGCTAAATTCCTTGAGCCTGTTGGCATGACTATTCAACCTCCTCCTCCAAGCCAGTCGCGGCGGTGCACCACCATCAAAGTCCAGCTATGAATCACCGAAAACACCCCCCAAAAAAAAAGTTAAGAAAAGATGTAAATCAGATTCAACAAAAAAGATAAGAGCTCAAATCAAGATCCAATATTCCTATGAATTATTAATACATAACAACCAGGTGATCAAAAAGATCGAGAGTGAACTTGACCCTTCAAGAATATGGATACAAAACGAAATCTTTCGATAAAGGATAAGATGAAATACCCCATAACTGCAGGATTAAACAACCCACAGCCCGGGGAAAAAAAACTAGAATTTAAATAAAAAAACGATGAGAAAAGAACATAATAATCACATGTAACCTCTAATTCTCCATTATTAAAGCTATTCAATCTCCCTCTACATTTTTAAGAAACAAAATACTAAGAACAACCTTGATTAGCCTCTTCATCGCCACAAAGCATAGAAATTTTCTTAAACGTTGATAAAAAGGAACCCCTCGATAAAGCCATGCAGACTAACAGTAATCAAAGAACCTCACCTGCTGCAACGTCGACCGACTAACATACTCCTCCGCCGGCCATGAATGCCTTCTACAGAGAAAAAGAGGCCCGCTTACCATACCTGCCACCCCCACTTACCCCAATCCCTGATTCTATATGAGATGAACCAAATCCTCTTCCAATCTCAAACCCCACAGAATCAATAATATGGAAACCCTCCAATTTCAAGCCCTACTCTGCCGCCCACTCCAAAATCAAACAAATTAAATCAATTCCTCATGCACCAAATCACGCTCAAATCCCAAGTTCCAAGAACAATCAAAATCGATCTTTTTATCAGTGATTGGCCGATGGAATCAAAGTTTTCCGAGTCCCGATCGGTGTCCGGTTCACTCAAGCACCTCCAAGTTCCACAGAAGAGCCGCCGATCGATAAACCAATCAAACAAAAGAGTGAGAGAGAGAGACTGAATCTGCTTCCACGATCGATCAATCGCCGGCTAAGAAACCCCTTAGAATCTCTCGGAGCTGCGCGCACAAATCTCAGATCTGCCTCCGGCATCAAAATTTCTAACCAACCGGCGGTGCGTCGAGTCGTCTGAACCACTTCGAGAATGGGCCCCGCCTCTTCCTCTTCCCCGCGCCGGAAAAGTCATGGGATTAGATCAGCCGTCGATAATGACAGCTGTCGCGCTTTTAAAACTTGCCGTTGGATGGCGGGGCCTTCCCACTTAGCCGACTGGCCGCCTACGTATGATCACGTTGAAATTTCGGAACTTTTATTAGAAAAAATATATAGAATATTCGGATTAAATATTTTATTAATGGAATCTTAAAATATATATAATATGAATTTTAATTATTTTGTATATATTATATTTATTTCAAATAAATTCAATAGCTTCGAATTCTATTTGATTATAATTTAATGATAATATATTCATGAAAAAAATAGATTAAATATTTTGTTAAAAATTTTCATCAAAATAAATCTTAATATTTTCAAATTAGTTTTTAAAGATAAATTTAATATTCATTATTTAAATTGAAAACTATTAAAATTAAATTTGTAACCATTCAATCTTCAATTTCAACATACTATTAGTCATGTTGAACCTCTCAACAAGACTAATACAAATAAAAATCTTCAAGCATAATTAAAATTTCATAGTATTAATTGAATGACCCAAAAATCATCAAATTCAACATTTTTTATGACGAAATGCTTAATTCCGACATCATTAAGATGGTTAAATGCTGAAAAAATGATTTATAATCGAGGAAATTAATATAAATCATAACAAAAAAGAAATAATTTTAAAATAAATTTAGAAGTATTTTATTTTAATATTTTGTTGCTATAATCATCATATTTTTATGAAAAATAATATAATCACATCTCCAAGTAGATGAGTAAGGGATATAATATAAGCTAATTTGAGGAGTCAAAGAATTGAGTTGAGCTCGAGTAGTAGTAGAGGGCCTACACAATGGTGGGCTCAAACTCGAGCTCTAGTTGAGCTTTTGTAGTGAGCTTGAGTTCGACTTACCAAAATAGAATCAAGTTTGAGCTCAACTCATGATGAAGTTCTGATGGGAACTAGCTAGGGATGCATTGACGTTTTGTCAAGCTTTTCAGCAACTCTTTCATCTTTAGAAATATAATTTAACTAAATAGTATTAAAGATGATATATTATAAAATTCAAAAATATCAATTTAACCAAATTCAATTAAATTGGTTAAATTAAAAGTATATTGGACAAACTTCTGCTTAAATATATTAATGAGAAATATCATCCAATTGAAGTCCCACAACACAAAAAAAAAAAAAAAAAAAAAAAAAAACAAACAAAAGTGCGGAGTTGAAGAAAATAAGGCTGATGCCTTTGAAATATGACATATATAGAGACTGCAAATCTGATAACTCAATTTCCCCGTTAATGATGTTTTATAGCAATTCATATCGATGATATTGATGTATATGATTATATATTAAAGGGGACTACCATGGTGATTATTTGTATGTATGTGGAGATTGTTCCACTACAATAGAATGAAGTCAATGTTGAGTATATTGTGTCATAACATCATCTTTTACATGAGAGTGACTGAAGAGTTGAGAGATCCTAAGGGCTTAGAGAATTTCAAATACATTAGCCTAACACAATTGTACACATATTGTCATGATAAATGGTCATTGATAGTGCACCTCAAGGCTCATATCTCTTTTCATACTCTCAAACATTCCACAACAATTTGATCTTAAATTGAAAGAAATTGGATAGGTGAAAACCAAATTCAATGTGAAGATTTTATACATTAAAGCCTTGGATGTTAGACAGAAGACCATCAAAAGCCTTATTTGGATGTTATAAAAAATTTATTGATCTTTATTTAGGTTCATGGTGGCATTTATTCACCTATATGAGGTAACATAATACAATGTAAACCTTTTAACCAATTCCAACAATTGTTGTGAGTATTCAATCCACAAATCAATGGATGGAGTTATTGTTTTGCCAATCTTGAGTGTGGATGGGGCATCTCTATAGGGCAAATATAAAAGTATTTTATTGATCTTGATTGTCATTAATGCTTAATCGATTCATTTTTGTTAACATTTGTAGTTGCAAATTCTTAATGTAATGAGTCGTTGTGGTATTGAAAATCTATAGAGTAAATTTAAAAGTTCCTCCTAAGCGATACACTACATAATTTCATATCATAATATTGAACTCATGTGTGATTGTAGATAAATTTTACCTTTGGTTGCACATAGGCATTATCTCAGATATTTACACAATAAATTTAAGAAAGCTCTATGAAGAATGACAAATTCAAATGTAGAATTCACATGTCATAAAACGTATTTTCATTGCATAATGGATGATGGAAAGGGTCTACAATCAATGCATGCAAAACATAAAAAAATATAAAAATTGATGCACGTGATTGGTTGATAAAGTTAGATCCTTTCAAGTGATCACATTTGTATGATAATATATTTAGATATGAGATAATAGCTACAAATGCCTCTAAATGCTTCAATAGAGCTCTACTTTTTTCCACCTACAATAACATCATAATTCTTTTCATCAAGCAATCAAAAAGTGCAGTCGAACTTGAGGATTCTAACGAAGCAAGACAAGAGTTTGAAGTTTATGATGTCTCTTTATATTTTGAAGTATTCATAGGTAATTATGGGATTCCTACATGTTCACGTAACATACCACATCCACCTTCTATCTCACATGTGATCACTTCGTTAAGATATCTTCAAGTTAGATATGAAATATGTGTTGCCTTACAATATAATCTATAATTACACATGCAACTCTGGGTCTGAGTTATATTTATTTGAAAAAAAAAGTGAGTGGCATGATTATGATCACAATTGTGTTATCGTTGAACTTCTTCCACCTAGTTTTAGAAGAAGATATAGTCAACAATGAAGCAAAAGCTATAAATATAACATCATCTCTTACATGAGAGTGGTTGAAGAGTTGAGAGATCCTAAGAACTTTATTGCATTACCAAATGATCATTGGCAATGATTACCATCAACAATAGTTACCACTATTGCCTGACTACTGTCATCCAACCCCAATATTTGGCTTTTGTAATCTGAATGTGGACATCGAAGTTTATTACATTGCCTTCACTTAACTAACAATGTATAATCTAACAAATGTTCTCAATTATAAAGCAAGAATTAAAAAACTATATAATTTGATAATTTTATCATGCAAATAAGATAATTGTTCTTAATTATATAATCCATTCTTGTTCAATTGTAGGGAAGAGAGGACAAATATTTATCTCACTATGTGGGGTGGGGTCAGCCACAAGAATCCTTTTTCCTAATTGAAAAAAATTAGCCAAATACTCTTGATGAAGGATTGTAATCTAGAATGAGTCGATTTGGAGAGGAAATGTCAATATATAGCTACACATTAGTTGTATACAAACTTAAAAGAAGAGGATGCACTCATTTTCGATTCTTATGAAAGTGCGTTTTGATTATTATGTAGACTAGCTGGAGAATCTGCTTCATCAACCAAGATGGGGTGCTCATAGTCTGTGCTTATATGCATGTCAAGTATTGATTAAAGGTGAACTAAGAAGAAGTATGTATGGTCACCCCCGTAGACTCCTATTCTTAACATAATCATAATAATGAATTCACGTAAATAAAACTCTCAAAATCTCATACGACCAAAATGTGGAGATTGATTAAGACAAAATGCATATTGACCTCTTAAAAATAAAACTAAAATAGTCAGAAAATAACTTAGCATAATAAATAAATAAATAATATAATATAATATTATTAAAAAGTTAATTAAACAATCTATATTTTAAAAAATATTGATCTGCAAATGAATTATCATTGAGCTTAATATCTAATATTTAATCGTTTATTTATTGAACAATAAATAAATTATTCATGAACATAAATAAACTACTTATATTTTTCTGTTCAAATTTGATTCATTTAATCTCTATACTTACTAAAAATATTTAAATTTGTTGAATCACTAAATTCAATTATAATAAATCAAGTAGAGTTCAAATTATTTATCTATTACATTATTCACTTACAACCTCATCCATCATTTAATATATCATTGTTTTACTATTTTAAGGTTTTGTTTGGGACAGCTTTTTCACTGCTTCTTAGGGCAGATACTAAGAAGCAGTGAGAAATCCATTCCAAATGAAGCCTAACCACACAAATCCTTCATCAAATATCATTGATAAAAAATAGTTACATGTGAGGAAAATAAAACCTGTAAGAAAAAAGGAAATCTTCTAAAACGGAAGATAAAGAAAAAGTTACAGGAGCAACTGAACAGGAACGGGGAAAAAACATGGTGGGGAGAACCAACATTGGGCTCAGGGTATTGCCACAAGAAAAACGTACACCCCTTGGTTGCATAGGAAGAATCACAAAGAGATCATGTTAGGCACCTGGTAGGAAATCACTACCGTCCAAAGGGGGCAGAAATTACAATACTGACAGCATAGCCCACAAAAACCACCAATCATACGACACCTAGAAGAGATCAATTGAGCATCGCAAAATGGCCTTTAAGATCATCAACATGTTTCCATCTCCTTACTCTAGGAAGGATCGCTTGACGAATAATAAAGCATTTCCTAGAAGGACTGTTCCAAACATTATCGAATCTCTTGAAATTCCTTTCTTTCCATAAAAAAACGATCGAGCTGCATATGACGAGATAGCAGAAATACTTTTCCCAACTAGAAAATTCCTGAGAACCATCAATGAAATCAAAGGTTTGCATCAGGTTCAGCCTGAGGAGGAAGGCATCCAGAACCAACAAAAGATTGGAAATAACATCAAATGAGAAATCACAACTATAGAACAAGTGAAAATGATTTTCACGGCCACCATCACAAAAAGAACAAGCTGAATTAACATCAATGCCCCTAATAAGAAGTAAGTCTGCCGTTTTCAACCTTCCTTAAACTGCCATCCATGCATAAGAGGAATGTCGAAGAGATTTTTTTATGCCAGATAAACCTGTACCGACCGACCTCTTCAAATTGAACAAAAAAAAGGAATAAAAGGTAGAGAAAGTGGGATTGTGTGAGCCATCCCAAGACAGAGTTGGTTGATCACAAATGATAATATTCGAGAGCCCATAAAGCAACAGATCCGAGACAAAAGCATGTAGGGCCCAAAGATTGTTGTTAATGAAGCAATTGAAAAAAGACCACTCAAACTTAAATGAAGGTAAAATCACATGCAGTGACTTCCCGTTGCACCAGTGATCCCATTCCATCGAAAAGTTGTAGTTGGGTGAAACATTCAAGGAAATTAAGCTCTTAACCTTATGAGCCATAGCACAAAATTTCTTCAATAATTTAGAAGCATTAGAAGAGAGAGGTTTCCAAGGGGATAAATACTTTTCTTTAAACCAAGAGATAGCCAAACTATCCCTAGTAAAAAACCTCCACAAAAAAGAGCACTAGATGACATGATAATATGCATCAATAGAAGGTATATCGAGACCCCCCAAACGCCTAGGCAAGACAGTGTTGACCCAAGAAATTAAATGTAATTTCTTATCAGCTATCCGACCATGGAATAAGAATCTAGAGCAAAGTCTCGAAATAGTTTTACAACAAGACTTGGGTATGATTGAACCTCTAATCCAATAAGCAATGGTTTTAGCAATAGTGAAATTTAAGAATTGCACTCTACCTGCAAAAGAGAGAAATTTTATTTTATAACCATCAAGTGGAGTAAAACTTTTACTCATAAGTGGTTGGAAGTGAGTAGAATTGAGACGAGCGGAGGAGATAGGAATGCCAAAATATTTGAGAAAGGAGCTCATATGAGGAATGCTCAAAATTTCACATATGTGATCCTGATATAAGACATTTTTAGAAAAAAAGAATAGAGCTCTTAGAAGGATTGATGAAGAGTCCAGATGCATTAGCAAAATTGGAAATAGTGTTGGCTAGGCAAGATACATTAGCAAGAGAGGCATTTCCAAAGACCAAGACATCATCCGCATAGAGGAGATGATTAATAGAGCAACCATTAATCCAAGGGCCAATAAAAGGGGGTTTTGTATGCCGCAAACTACAAGAAAACCCATCCATGACAATACAGAAAAGCAACGGGGATAAAGGACTTCCCTGACGTAGGCCCGAGGATGAGCTGAAGAATCCATTGAGGGAGCCGTTGATACAAATATAGAAAAATACATTGGAGATACAACCTTTCACCCATTTAATAAAATTTCTCCGGAAAACTCTTCTTTCTTAGTCTAAGTAACATAAAATCATGGGACACAAAATCAAAGGCCTTGAGAATATCCAACTTGAACAAAAAGTATTGCTAAAAGAGTTGAACCCTTAGAGAATCTCAGAGGCCAAATTTATATTATCAGTAGAACACCGATTTTTAATAAACCTAGCTTGTCTTTCATGAATAATGAGGGGAGCACATGTTTCAACCTATTAGCAATCAGTTTAGCCATAATCTTACACAACACGTTGAAAATAGAGATAGACCTATAGTCAGAGATGGAAGAAACATGAGCTCCTTTAGGGATTAAAGTGAGTGCAGTGGCCTTAACACCCATAAGTAAATAACCAGAAGAATAAAAATCCATCACCGCTTTGCAAATGTGAGGGTCAGTAATGTGCCAAGTTCTCTTATAAAAGGCAAAAGAAAATTCATCCGGACCCGGAGTAGAGGAATCATTCCCTTCAAAAATCACCTTTTTAATTTCATCATAAGAGAAAGGGACTACCAAGGAGAAAGTCATATCCGGGGGAATGCAATTACAAATGTGGATAGAAAAGTTTTCAGCATTAATCGGTTTAGGAGAGTTGAAGAGATCTTTAAAATGCTGAATGAAGGCAGCAACAATATCTTTATGATATGAGAGAGAACCATTATTGGCATCATTGATGGAAAAAGTTTCTAAAAAGCCTTTGTTTTGGATTAATTAACATGATCTACAGTACATCAAAGGAGTTGGTAAAAAGGGCAATCGCTTTAAAGCGGACAAAAAAAAAAGAGGGCCTTTTGGTACCCGGGAAGTCTCTGCTAGAATGATAGGGATTTCGAGCTCTCCCTTCGCCACTTGCCCAACCCTGACAACTAGCCGTTGCCACTTCGCCGCCACTGCAAGCGGTCGTCATTCTCCTCCACCCCTACTCTGGCTAGACGGAGGCTCGAACAGACGACAGAGTATTTTTCGATGCCGGAGCAATGGAAGAAATTCCGCTTCTCCTTCAGGTAAATATTTGTAATTTAATCTGAATTTGGTTGGGATTCTTCTCAGGTAGTTATTCCATTTTTCATCGAGTTGTAAAAATTTTGTCTTCTTTAGTATTTAGACAATCGTGTTGGTTTTTGAAAAAATCCGGGACTTCAAAATCTTAGATTTCCATTGTGAAATCTAAACGGAAAGGAACGCCAATTTTGTGGACTATGGATAACGGCGTTTGAGTAAGTTAGATGAACATAGTGAGTTAAGGAGTAAGGCTAAGGATTGATCTAATTTCTAAAGTAAATTAAAAATGACAACCATAGACCAGTTCATCCTCTAATGCACATGAACAGGCCACTTAAACCTAAGGAATTCTTATGTTTTTTGAATGGAGGATAACTAGAGGTGCTGCTGGACTTGGATTATAACTCACTCTCCACTATTGTTTGTTTGAGAGAAAACCTAGTAACTCCCATTCAATTTGTAAGGCGTGTGAACATCAGAGCGCCAATATTGTAGTGGGCAGCTGAGAATGTTGTAGACAAATAGGAAGAAGAGTTTGTTTGTGATTATGATATGAGGGCGAGCGGGCATTGGTGTGTGATACATTGGAGTGACTATGATTGGAAGCTTATGTGGTGCAAGCTTGGGTGAGTTGCGGGAGGTTGCATACTCTAAACTATGAGCAAATGAGCAAATATATGATAAGAGTGGATCTGCGGTGATGCGAACAGAGGAGGCGATGTAAATGGATATGACTTGAGAGTGGGTGTAAGAGTGAAAGCACAAATAGAATGGAAAGTGAGGCTTTGTTACCAATGGTGCAAATTGGAAAACACCAAGAGAGGAGCACCAATATGAAAGATGACCGACTAAAAGATGCGAAAGAGGGAGAGAGAGAGAGAGACGAGAACCCATTGATTACTAGAGAGGGAAGAGAATAAGAGAGGGGTCTTGTAATTTTAATTCATCATTCAATAATTCAAATACAATTATAAATCTCTATTAATAGAAATAGGATCATAAGATAAGACCATATCATATCAAATTAAATTCAATTCTAATTTTAAATATGAATAGTTCCTAATAATCCTATCATCTAATTTAAAATAAATATAATCATAATAACTAAATTAAATAAAAACTAAAATAAAGTCTAGAACAATTTAAATACTTGAAAGTTCTTTACATAATCTAAACCATTTCTTTTTGCTCACCCAGACTTGTACCAAGCACCGTATATTTTAGTTTTCAATGAAATTTTAGTTGGATTTGTTTTTGTTTCTACTTTTGATAGTCAATTTCTTGATTGAGTTAAGAGACTTGATGATTTTTTATCGAGATTATATTCTTGTACAAGCATGAAACTTGATTCTTCTGTGCTTGTTGACTTCTTTTCTTCAAATTTTTATTTATTTCCCCAACTTATTGTTGGATTGAATGTGTAATTGACTTTAGTCAAATTTATTTTATCTGTATTTTGTATGGATTTCAAGTATTTGTATGATTTTATTGGTTTTGAATTTATATGATCTTTTTGATAAAGTCTATTTAATTATTGTATGAATTAATTTATTTTGTATTTTTAGTTTTAGTTGTAAGTAATGAGTAGTAATTAAAATCAAGATATTATGATCCACAAAATTTTGTGCATGTTGTATGATTCTGATAGGTTCAGTGAACTTATCTTAGGCGGAAGAAGGTACAGGAAGAAGAATAAGAGAAAATAGAAGAGTAAAAGAGAATAAGGAATAAGGAAAAGAACTTTCTTCATTACCTCTCATTGCTCAATACATCAATTATTTATGTAGTGTTGCATAATCCACCCATGAAAATACACATGCCATCATTGGAAAAATAAATACATAGTGTATGTTATATGATTAATGAATTTGCTCTAATCTAAGTCTTTTAAGATCAACAAAAGCATGCTAATGAATCATACTAAATCCAAGCCGTTGGCCCATTATCTTTGCTCGGATATTTTAGAAGTTGTTGCGGTACTTCTAAGGAAGTATAAGTTTCTCCCTCCTCAAGAAGTGTGAAGTTGTCCGCAAGGTTAAAATTAAGAAAAGAGAGCAAAAATTTAGGTAGATGTATTTATGTGGAATCCTCCATAGGCAGACCTTCCCATTATACTAGCAATTGAGTTACCATGGATGTGCCTTTTAAGGCTTAGTGAGACTGAACAATTGTAGCTGATTGGATGATTATTGAAATTTGCTGTTGGTGGGTTGACTGTGTGGAATGTCGCATTCTGGTGGTATTGTTTCAATATTGAAACATGGAACACAGTGTTAATACACAAATTTTGGGGAAGCTAGGGTTGATAAACTATATGATATGTTCCAATACTTCAGATGGACCATAGAAGTTGTAAGATAATTTGGAGTATGGTTGTTGGTGCATAATGGTCTTTTTATAAGGTTGAAGCTTGATCAACATGTGCCCACCCACATTGAATTGGACATCACGATGTGTTTATCCACCTACTAATTCATACAGTTTTGGGTAGTAACTAGATTTTCTTTTAGTTGGCATAGACTCTATGGGTGAGGAAGGTGTTCATGGCTTCAAGTAGTGAGGAGGTAGGAGTGTATACAAGAATAGTTGGTGGCAGTTTGCCATAAATAACTTGGAACAGAGTGAAGTCAATGGATGTGTGATGTGAAGTATTATAAGATAGTTGGTTTGTTTTGATATTGAATTTATTACGAGTGTTTCGTTGGTTTGTTTTGATGGTGAATTTATTACCCAAGAGATATTTGCGCCATTTGGAAATTGATTTGGTGATGACAAAATGCTCCTAACATATTGAAGAACGGGACGAAGCAGGAAGAACAAGAAAGAGCGAAATGAGAACAGAGAGGAAATTATAACTATTATTACATCTGTCTCACAGTACATCAGGTGTCCTTATATAGGCATCTATACAAAGCATAGGAGCCTAAAACTAATCATATACATCCACCTGTCATAGTTATTTAAAGATATGTTTATTTACATTTATTTATATACTAATATCCCCCCCTCAAATTGATGGGTCTTTGTGTAACAGTCAATTTGTCTCGCAATAGTTTGAAACGTGGTGTGGATAGATGTTTGGTGAATATATCGGCAATTTGATCAACTGTGCTAATGGGAAGGAGACGAACGTTGTGTTAATGAATGTGATCACGAACGAATTTCTGATCTATCTCAATGTGTTTGGTCAGTGCGTGAAAGACGGGGTTGTTGGCTAGAGCTATAGCGGATGTATTATCGCAGTACATGTTCGTAGGTTGGTCTTGCGATATGCCAAATTTTGCTAGTAGCCTGCGTAGCCATATGACGTCGGAGTTGAGAGCTGCTAGGGAACGATATTCGGATTCGGTGGACGATCTTGCAATTGTGTGTTGCTTTTTAACAGTCCATGAGATGAGTGTGCTTCCAAGAAATGAGCAGTATCCTGAGGTGGATTTCCTAGAATTCGGATCCCCGGCCCAATCGGCATCTGAAAATGAAGTGAGAGCAAGATCAGATTTGTTTATAGGAATGCCATAATCTATTGTACCTTTAATGTAACGGAGTAGTCTTTTTAAAAGATAAACGTGTTGGGGTAGCGGATCGTGCATATGCTAGGAAAGTTGGTTGATACTGAATGCAATATCGGGTCTGGTTAGTGTCAGATATTGCAAGGATCCGGTGATTCTTCTGTAGGTGGTTGGATCCAAAAGAATTGGGTCATTTTGCAGAGCTGTAGGAATCTTGGCAGTAGTCGGATTCGAAACGGGATTACATCCAGTCATGGCAGCTTGTTGTAGAATAGTTTGTGCGTAGAGCGCCTGGGATAGGAAGTGTTGCTGCTCGTTTGTTGAGGAGGAAGGTTCTTTGGATCAAGAAACTTACTGAACCCGTTGGCTTTGAAGATCTTGATGATTTGTGATCTCCATAGAGAGTAGTTGTCGGAGACGAGCGGCGACGGCACGATGTTCTTGAGATTTGAGACTACAAACTTGAGAGTAGTGGAGATGTGCGGATCTTCGTCGTTTGTAACAGACACAGAGAAATCGTCTAGCTGAGATGTGGAGGATCTAGCCATTGGGAAGAAGAATTAACTTCCCCACTCTGATACCATGAAGAACGGGACGAAGCAGGAAGAACAAGAAAGAGCGGAACGAGAACAGAGAGGAAATTATAACTATTATTACATCTATCTCACAGTACATCAGGTGTCATTATATAGGCATCTATACAAAGCATAGGAGCCTGAGACTAATCATATACAGCCACCTGTCATAGTTATTTAAAGATATGTTTATTTACATTTATTTATATACTAATACATATGTACACAAGGATTGAGTTTTTTTAGTGAAGAAAACAATTGCTTTTTTCTTGGGTTATGCCTGCGTCAATGCTGCTGCTCGAGGCATCTATTTCAACCATGAACAAATTAGTAAAATCAATAATGGAGGATTAGAGAGAGCTAATTTCAGAACAGTGAAAGATTCATCAGATTTATATGTTTATTGAAGTTAGTTTTTTTAAAATAACATCGTAAGTCGAGAAGCTATTGTTGCAAAATTTTGATCAAAGCTACAATATTATTCAGCCAACCCAAGGAAACCATGCAAGTGTTTGACGGTTTTAGGTGGTGGCCAAGTTATTATTATGTCTTGTAATGATCTAGAGAAAAGTAGCTATTGCCCATGTTGTGGCCTAGATATTCCATATTAATTCAAACAAAAATGGCTATCAACTTCCTCAAGAATAGAGAATTATCATTTAATATCGTGAGAATCAAAGCGAGGTCATGTACGTAATAAGCTAAAATTGAAATATAAATATGGTAGCTCTATGGAGTCCATCTAATAATTCATCAATTGTTGGAATCAGAAATCGAACAAGGCTAGTTATTTGGTTAAGTGCACGATAGTCGACACAAAGTTGTCAAGTGTCGTCTTTCTTTTTGATTAGAACCATCAATGAACTATAAAGGGCCGATGCTTTGTTGAATAGTGCTTGAAGGCAACATATTTGCTACAATTGTATTGATTTCAGTCTTTTGGAAATGTGGGTAATGTTACTGTTTAATATTAATTGGTTTGGAATTGGGAAGGGTATATGCGGTGAGCCATCTTAGGCAGTGTAAGTTGTGTAGGGGTCTTATATAAATATTCAAACGCAAAAAATGGCTTCTTTTAATAAAGTAATGATGCTATATTGTGGAATGCAGTCCGGAAGGTTATTACCACAAATTGTAACTAAAAGTAAGAAGTAATATTGCGATTAGCTTATAGTCCATTAAGTTAATGAAGTTAGATACTTTCAATAGCGGAGTTTGATTGATTAAACTTGTTTTTCTATGAAAACCTCATAACAATAGATTCATAATTAGTTAAGACATCACCTATTCATTCTAACGATTGAATACCCAATACGACTTTAGCTCCTTGAATTGTCAAGATGAAAATGTCGACTTGAAATGATTGTCTTGAACCCACAAATCAACTCTAGAACATTTACGATTACAGTTTATAATTTTTCCAGTGCTAACCGTAACTTGAAACTATGGTGTTTCTGTGATTGGCAAGCCAAGATGATGAACTACACGTTCTTGTATAAAATTATGAGTGGAATTGTATTAACTAGAACTTAGGAGTGTTGGCAGCTAAAGTGTGTATTTGATATAGGTGTGCTCGTTCAATTCGGATATTGTGTTGTTTTGGGTTGTCAGAAAATATGTAGTGTTCGTTTCACAGAAAGATCATCTTCTTATGGTATGATTAAGATCAACATGTGAGTATTACAAATGTGGTTAAGATGATTTTTTTCATCACAATCATAATGTAATCCCTTTTCTCTTTTTTTGGCCCATCTTAGTAGTGATAAGTTTTTTGATTGGTGGAGAAGATTGATAGACTGACCGATTTGATTGGGAAGGAATTAGGAAGTTTTCTAATTAAGAGGGAACTATTTAGGAATGTTCTTAATCAAAGAGGAATTGTTTATGAAAAATTTTAATTACATTTGGGAGGTAATTATTTAGGGCAAGAGATCTAATTTGAATTCAAAATTTAAGAGGAAATTATTTAGGGAAAAAGAGGAATTAAGGGGGATTGTTTTGGAAAGTTTTAATTATAATTGGGAGGGAATTAATTATAGAAATAAATTTAATTTGAATTCAAATCTAAGAGGGATTTATATTGGGAAAGGGGGCTGATTTGGGAGGGAATTATGGGAGCCTATTTAAGGCTAACTATGGGGGTGATTTCAGATTATGTTTGAAGTTTGTTGAAATTAGAATTTCTCAGGTTATTTGGGCTCTAGCCAGAAGCTAGGGATTTGGAAGAGCCAGATCTTCCTCTCGAATTGAAGATCCAACTGTATCTTATTTTTTTCTTTCATATAGTTTACAATAAAAATAGTTTTGGTGTATTTTTCTTCTTAATTTCTTATTGTCTTTCACTGATTTCAAGGAAAAGTGCATCCACTTCCTATCAAGGATTTTCTCCAAAGACTTTTTGTACAATCTGGTCTGGGAAGAAGACATGTTTTATTGGGTGGATAAATAAAAGGTTGATTTGGTTGATTAGGAAAAGAGCCACCACGCAGTTTGTCATCCACCAATTTTTCTTAATCATTGGCTTGATCGAGAGAAGAATGTCTATGTAATCAAAATTCCTTGTGGACTCAAATCGACTTTGGAAGTAGGCATCATCCGCATTGGAAATAAGGATGGATGGTTCCTTAAACCACAGCCGAAATTTTTGATCAGATAGCATTGATATAATTTCGTTAACTCACCTCAGAAATTGTGATATTGGGAAGTGCCAAAACAGGCATGGAGAAGTTTCAAAAAATCTTGCCATGTGGAAAGCATTGATTATTTTCCACCCAAAGAAATCATTTCTCTCCCGGAACCTGCATATGGAATGAGACTAGGGAAAGATTTTTGGGGTCATACAATTTGTGAAATTTGTAAAATTGTTCAACCTTACATATTCTGATTTCGAGGTTGCCACTTGAGAATTTGGGCCTTTCAAATTTTTTTGAATGAAAGGGGTTCGACCTTAGAACCTCGGAAGAGCCATTGGGGTAGTGGCTCACTTACCTTGAGCTGAAGGTTATTTATTAAATTTGAAAAATTATGATATCAAAATCTAAATAATTTACTAGCTTTTCTTAGTTGTGTATAATAGTATGAAATGGATAATTTATGTAGAAACAAGTTTCTTAAACTAAACAATGGCACAAAGCTACCAGACCATCAATTTTCTCTAATAATTTCGTGCAAGATCATATGAAATTAAGTTTGTAATAAAATGTTCTATTCTAAGATTATTGGAAATATTTGACAATAGGATTTTTTAATACTTAAATAAGTTCAACATGATTGAATCTTATACTGCCAAGGAATAAAATATTTGCAAAGAAAAATTATTAAAAAATAAAATTACAAGAATGGAGGAAAGCATACCTTGAAGGTGAGATTAACTTTTTTGCTTTTATAATAGAGAACTTCCTTTCCATGTAGGATTCATCATCACTACTATTCTCAAGGGTGCTTCTGAGATTATTTCTTGCCTCCACCATATCATGAGCAAGTAGAAGTTTTAGTTAAATCTGTCATTCTTTTTAGAACTCTAAAAATTGATATATGAAGAGGGAGAGATCACAAAAACCTGCTTTATGTTGGGTTTATATGCAAATCGTCTATCCTTTTTTTTTTAGCTAGCACAATTAATTTAGAAAGAAAAAAAAAAATCCTTTTGATACCGCTTATATAAGTGGCTAGTTAGGAGGTTTAATTTATGGAGTATGTTTGATACCTTATTTATATTTTTTTTCTGACTTTATTTTAATTATTATTATTTTTTTAATTAATCGACCCATGTAGTGGAATAAAAACTTGATCTTGTTATTGTAATCCTTTTAAGTAATGAAGAAAATCAAAACATTCTTTCTTCAAATGATATTGAACACCATAGGTTATCAATGTTCATTTTTGTAAGCTTCTTTAAGTATAATGGAGCAAAGCACCCAATCAATGAAGCTTCTTTTGTTCCTATAATTGGAGTTATGTTAAGATGAATGCCCTTCTTAGAAAGTTGAACGTAGAGAATAAAACTATGGGTATATGTTATCAAAGTGGATACTATCTTGATTAATGATAGTTCGGGATGTATTAATTTATTATTTATTTCATATCATGTATTATGACATCTTAGCCTATTTTATTTGCATTTGTAATAATCTTTATGGTTTTAAGCCCTTGTTTATGCAAAACGCTTGTTGTTTTATTAGTTTATTGCATTTTTTGAATAAGGAATAAATGATATGGTTGCTTTCCTTTCTTCTTGAGTGTCAACCTTCTTGGTCGGAGTGAAGTCCCCTGCTAGTACATGTTTTGCGTGTCATGTTCCTCCTCTCTCTTTCTATGCTTTTATTGGAGTTCTTGATATTTTGCTTGCTCTCTTTGATTGTGTTGTTTGCTACTCACTGCCAATAAACTTACAGATCAATTAAAAATTTCATTAAAAATTGGGATGGATGCATAATGGAAGGAGGAATATAAATTATCTTGGCACAGAAATCGATAAGAGCCACTTGATCCGAGATTTTCCATTGCTCTTGGCATTCAAATGATTTATTTTGCTTTATTCTGTCATCTTGCTTTTATTATCTATAACAATGTGAATTACTATCACCACGTCAAGTATGCTATTTGCTGTAGTTAGCATAGTAATTCTAAGGCCACGTTTGTGATGGTCTTACTACTAAAAATAAATTTTTAGTATAAAAATTAAAAATTTTGTACTAAAAAGTTTTTTTAAGAAGCATCAAGAAAGTTGTCACAAACGAAGCCTAAATCGGATAATCATGAAATTAATGAGATAAGTTACAAGAGCATTCATGCTGATCAATGTGATTTGACTGCTGGATAGGTGATAATGACAGTAAAGTTGTTCTTGATGCATTCTTTTTGGGAAAGGCTTTTGCGGAGGCACTTAATGAACGTGTGGGTTCAGCATTAGGTGAGGTCTTAAGTGTCTTCGGTCAATGGCAAGCTGAGCAGCAAAAACAAGTACATGATTTTCAGGTGACTCAACAAGCTTTTTGAGTATGCTCTATACTATTCCCTCCCTCCCTTTTGTTCATCACGTATTGAGATGTGCTTTTCATTTAAGTGCTGTATAATTTTTTTATCAATATTGTATTATGACCTTTCTTTATTAGATCTAAATGAAAATTTGACTCTTAATCGGACAAAATGGAGAAAAAATATTCATGTAGCCAACCTCACGTAATGGGATAAAGACTTGTTGTTGTTATAGTAGTAGTAGTTGTATTGAATTTTAGACTTTTAGCATGAAATACATTTATCATCAAGTTATTGATGTCCCTCTATATTCTTTCATATTTTTTTGGAGCCTTATATTACAAAATCTATATGTGGTTACCTGAGCTCTGGTAAGTCTCTCTGTTGAGCAATGGAGTTCCAACAAACAGGGATTTAAAGCTTAAACTTGTAAAAAAGTTATATGAGTTTCATATGAGCTCCGTTTTTGTTGTCCTTTCTTTTCAAACATTGTTCTATTTCTTAAGTTGCATATTTCCATGATGAGCTATAGTACTTCCATGCCTATAGGGCTGCAAATGAACCGAGCGTTCCACGAGCTACTCGTGGCTCGGCTTGATAAGAGCTTGTTCATATTCGTTTGATAAGGTAAACGAACAGGCTTAAATACTTTGATAAATACTCGATAGCTAAATAAACGAGCTTGAAATTATGTGTTGTTGGAACTTAATTGGAATCTTATGAGATGCTATTTAAATTAGGTTTTGAGTAATGATTACCAAGCAAAAAACGGGCTGAATTTTCACCAAAAATAATGATTGTGATATCATTTTCTTTTATGCATGAAATCTTGCGCTTTGCTTTACACCAATAACCTAAGATTGGGAAAAAAGATACTTCCACCCTTTTCGGTAATTATTTAGAGGCCCAATTTATCATCCTAGATAGTATTTCTCTACTAATTTTTCAAGAGAATGGCTTCTTCTGATATTTGCTTGGATAAGCAAGAGATTCGAAAGGGCTTATTACATCCCTAAATTCCGAGGAAATAGATGAAAGCAACCCATTCGTATAATTGCTGTTTAATTACTAATAAATATTCAAAGAAGGGTTCTCAAAAAATGGAAATAAACACATAAACTAATAAGCATTTCATCTTATAAAATATTTCTTGACAATTCAAGAGTTTAATACTTGTTTTTATTGAATAAAAATCTTTATTTCCAGTGGAAACTTTGTCTAAAATCTATGTTCTGCTCATTTGCACATCTGAAAGCTGATTCAATGAAATTTTTTTTCAATTGTAGGAAGAAGTCATAGAGAGAGCAAATAAAGCTAAGAAGAAGGCTGCAATGGAGGCCTTGGATGCACAGAGCATCATTTCAAAGTCTCTGATAAAACCTCCAACGAGTGATGCACCTGTCACACGGCCATCAAATGTTGGTCCAACAACAGAAAACCCTCTCAGTGAAATACTGAAGGATTGAGTTCTTCTGGATTTTCTGGTAAACAACAATAGTACTCAATGCTCGTGAGTTATGCTGGATACAAATTAGTGAAAGTACACACCACACCTTGTTTGGTGATTTCTGACCTAAATTTATTATAATCATGATTTCCTCTCTGCTTTGTCAAACATTTTTATATTAATAGATATAAGTTTCTCTTCTATGTCCATTGCTTAGTTGTTTTTGTTCTTTATGTCATTATGATAGGAAATACTTGAGTTCGCAAGCAAACCTATCACTGTTTGGTGAAAACGGCGAGAATAATGCAAAGTCAGGGTGAAATCAGCCCCAAAACGATGGATTGCAAATTTCAATAAGAGAATCAAAGCCAACAAACACGAAAACAAGATACAAGTTATCCTCAATTCGAGAGGAGGATCGTTTCTCCCAAATCTCTAGACAAGGTAGTCTAGAGCCCAAGACACCAAAGAACTTCAAGAGGAATGTGGGCTATGAAAATTCGGCCCCGGCCTCCGCCCGCTGTTGTTTTTTACTTATGGGGGGAGTTTTAACAGACTAAGTTCCAGGGTAAATTTTGGAAGGCAGATGGGTTTGTAGATAAGACACTACCCAGAGATTTCACCCTCATTTTGCAAGGATTTTATAATCTGAGTTCTGATTTCCTATAGGCGCAAGCCCCTATAGTTAATTACCCCTCCCGATCAGGAGAAAGAACTTTCGATTAAGGCTAGTCGTCAATCAATATGTTGTATCCATAGGTACGAAGTATAAAGCTTATAGTAGCAGCATTGGACTTAGATTTGGAAATTTGGAAATAGTTGAAAGTGTAGAGATTTGATATTTAAAATATAAATTTTCACCATCCTGCACTTAAAGCGGATGGCGGGGGATGGATGATGGACCCGATCAAGATCCCATGGTTCCGTCGTCCCGGGCCATTATGGTCCCTGGTTTACTTAGTCAGAGAAGATGGTCGACCCAACCTGACAGAAGGATCCTTGTCGGCAGCCATGGGTTGCTTCGTCCAAGGGGACCTTGTAGACCTGGGGAGAATGTTTGTCTAAGGGGACAAATTTGGATCCACCTTAGCTAACAGAGGGCTTTGTGCCCTATCAATCATATCCTATTGATTCATATCTCAAGGATTTGATGTCATTAAGGAGCGTATTGGCTCTGGCCATAACCGGTATTTCGTGGTGCCATTTGGTGGCAAAACCGCCGGTTAGAGGACATATACCACGTTCTTACTGGCAGGAGACTTTTTGAGAATGAATCCTAGTGATATTTTCGACTATGCATTAGCTCTATGTGAGGTAAAATAAATTTTAATTTGTCCACCCCGACAAACTGTTGTGGATGGTGGATGAATTTTTCTTTAAGTGGTTGGATGGTTGATTTTTGAATTTTAAATATTTTGGATTTTGAAATTTTTGGGATTTTTGGATTTTCGGACACTTGAGTAGCATTTAAAAATATTTGTGAACCCCTCTGGTTGAAATTCTCATTCAACACGACCATCATTGAGGTGAATGGGGTCATTTCCATTTGAAGTTTGAACCATGTCGACCCTATCAATTTGCCGATAGAGGATCGAGTTTCGTAGGCTTTATGTCATTATTTGTGAATTTTCATTGTTAAAGGCCTTGAAGGCCTAATATGAATGTATAAAATAAATATTCCGGTCGACTTCATGATCACATATTTATCCAATGGTTCGAACTTTGTCTACTCCTATTTTCCTGCTTAGGAGAATCGGGTTTCGTAGCCTTTATTCCTTTATTACCTTTATTAGTGAATTCTCTTGATTATAGGCCTTGAAGGCCTAATATAAATGTATTAAAATAAATATGTCAGTCACCACAACCGTATATTTATTATATTTATTTGATGGTTCAAACCCTGTCGACTCTTATTGATCCGTATAGAAGGATCGAGTTCGAACTTGAATTCACTTATTGACCCGCACAATATCCCCAGACGTTAAGTGTGTACCAATAACACACTCGACGGGGCCCATACAGGTATTCGATTGTACTTACCCCTTGTGTACCTATGTGTATGCAAACTACGATGCACGTGCAGGGGCATTCTTGGAATATTCGGGCAGATGTACTACGAGTCTCCTACAACAACTTGCAGGAGCTTGTGTTCATAGTTGTCGTTCTATATTTGCCCGTGGATGGTGTGTTAGATGCACAATCATCTTTCATCAAGAGCTTGCAAGCCTTAATAATCTTATCCAACTCAATGTTCAGAACCTGGTTGAACTGAGATTCGCTCATTCCATAATGATTTGATCTGACTTTCTCTTCCCAGAACTTGTATAGGAATTAGTAGGCGACTCTTTGATTATTCCATCATCATTGTTGGCTTAAATAAAGAATCAATCATTTCAACCTTGGATGACTGCGTCCATACCGTTGCCCAATACTTCGAAGTTGGTGATTGCTGCCTTCAAAATGAATAGAGGTATCCGGGCACACTTATCATCTTCAGTGTTCGTAGATGTTAGAACTGTTTTCTCCCCATGTATAGGGCCAATGAAGAAATTTTGGAACACCAGGAAGTTTAGTTCAAATTTGCTCAAACGTCTCTTCCCTTCTGTCGGGAGATGTCCTTCTCCGTTCATCGAGTTATTTTCATACCTGACGTACCTGAGAATCTCGATCAGCCCTTTTGCAGGTGATATCTTTACTTGTGTCCACAGTGGTTCATTGTGCTTACGAATGAATTGGTCTGGTGATTCAGATTTGAGTCTATGAATTTTGGTTAGCCATCTCTCCAACTGGATGCCACTGATTCTAAAGTTCGGACACAATGATCCTCCTTTAAATCTACATCATGAGGATTAGATGGTTTATTGATTAACCTAAACAAATTTGCAATGGAATATAATTTGAAGATGATGATAATTTCAATAATGGTTTATTGATTAACCCAAGGAGAAGATATTAATTGAACTAAGAACTTTAATAAAACTTGAAACCAAATGGATGAATATGAGGAAATGAAGAATTTGAAGATGATGATAATTTCAATAATCAACTTTGACAAATTGGGCTATTTCAAAATAATTGAATGAGAATTGATAGACTTTGTCTGAGTTTACTTTGACTTAATTAAGAGTATGAGGAAATGAAGAATTTGAAGCTGAGCTCTTCTAGAAGAGCTCTCATGAATTTCAACTGCATTGTTTTTTTCAATACAATAGTCCTGTAGGTGAAAATCTACAATTTTCTGATGATTTTATTGTGGTCGCCTTTTGTATAGGAACAGTGATGGGATGTGATGATGCAAAAAACATCCGATTAGACTTCAAAATCATTCAATTTATATTGAGATTAGTGCTATTTAAGATATTATATTATATCAACAATCTTAATATAAATGGGACGACTTTGAAACCCATTCATCCTGTCACAATTTTTTTTCATTTTTAATTGCTGTTCATAGTACTGTAGATTCACATCAATGCTGAAGACAAAGCTAGCTTTTGTTATGTTTTATTTTTTATTTTCCTTGCTAGTCTGCTCTTCCCTTTTCCATTTATCGAAATTCGATTCTGCAGCAAAGTTGAGCTAGTCATTGACAGATTTTTGCCCCACTTGTAATTGCTGTGAACTGGATTAATTATTCTGTGCGGACGCCGAACACCGTCCGGAGACCAACCAGAATGTGCCACGTCACCCCTTGGTCGGTACCGCGGCTCGGTAATGCTGACGTGACACATTCTGGTTTGTCTCCGGACGGCGTTATGCGTCCGGTCTCCGCACAGAATAATTTCTATGTGAACTGGTAGGTTAAATTGCCTGCTTTTTCTGAGCTTTTTATGATTAAGGCTTTGTTCGGGACGGCTTTCTTACTGCTTCTTAAAGTAGTTTTATAGTACTGTAAAATTGATTTAAGAAATAGTAAAAAAGCTGCCCCAAATGAAACTTAAGCTGCTCTTAAAGCTGCATTGCATTCTTTACAGATTTCTGTCTCTGATAGTTAAACACTTCTAATCTTTATCACAGATTTTTGATGTAAAAATGTGAACTGGCAGATTAAATTCTATTTTTTCTGAACTTTTTATGATTAAGCTGCTCTTAAAGCTGCATTGCTTTCTTTATAAATTTTTACCTCTGATAGTTAAACACTTCTTCATCTTTATCACAGATTTTTGAAGTAAAAACTGCAATAAAACGAGTATGATCTCCATCATCCTCTGGTATTTGATTCTAATATGCTTATCCAAATATAACATTAATGGTGAGAATTGCTTGACATATAAGCAAAGGGAAGGGAGATGAAGAGTTGTTAGAATTGAATTATTGTCACAATTCAACTGATCATGATTTTAGATTGCTTGATCATCATATTTGATTCCTTATAATAATTTAGCTTTCTGGAAATGCTTTTAAGAAATGAGAAATGATGATTTGAGAAGTCAATTTCATTCAGGAAATTTCTATTATCATTATTTTAGTAGTTATTTGTGATGGGTACGAGTTTCGGGTCAGGTTCAGGTTGAACTCGGATCTGACCTGACACTTTTTAATCCGACTTGTTTTTTGCAAACGGGTTGGTTTTTTGGACCTGAATCCGACTCGCTTTGGGTATGTTTTACTAAAATATTTTTATTTAATTTGATTTATTTAAACCTAAATTGAATTAAGGTAAGATTTACTTCGATCAATTTAAAATAAATTGAGATTAATTCAGTTTGGGCAATATGATTTATTATTTTTGGGAAATAACATTTATTTATTTCATAATAATCTTCTAAAACTCTCCTTTAAAAACGGGTCAAATTGGGTTGATTTCAGGTTTCCGGGTCAACTTGAATCCGACTTGGTTTTACAAACGAGTCGAAATCCCTAACCCGAATTTGGCCCGATTTCGATTGACCCGAACAAAAAATTTTCGGGTCGGGTTTTTGAGTCGTGTCAAATATTAACACCCCTAGGTACTGCAACTGGTTTTGCATCATATATCACTTTCCAACCTTGTCTGGGATTGTGGTCATGGTTTGCCAGTCCAATCGGTTCAACCATGAATTGATTTTTCGACCAATTCAGTCTAATCTAAAACTTGCTTCTGCATAGAGCTGGTTACTAGTCATATTATAATAATTTTAATATTTATTACGTCATTTGGTTAAATCCTCAATTCAATCCCGATTGAATTTTCGAACCTTGAAATCTCTCGTTCTTTCAATATATGTTCAATATGCTTTTCAGAATCTTGTTCACGATTGTGGATTGCTCGACATTCAATGGGGCGAGTACTAAAGAAGTGCGGTTAATCTCTAACAATGTCAGTCTTGTTTTTGATGATCGGTGGTGAGACCAATATCTTTATTGAGGGAGAAATTATTACGTGTGGTCATCGGACATCATTTTGAGACGAATCATGAGTTGCCACATCCTCATTTTGTTGTATACCGGTGTTGTGTATTACTATGATGTGGTATATCCTGATTCGCCTCCGGACGATATGATGATGATACGTAATAATTTCTCCTATTGAGGATGAATAAAACAAGACTGTGGCATGCAGAACTTTAAGCTCTTCTTATGATAGATGAGATGCAAGAGAGATAAAATTGAGTTAAGCGCTAGCTTAGGGTTCAATAAGAGAGAAATTGATTTGGCAAAGAATAAACTTTTATAGGATCAAAAGAAAATTAAGATTTTTATTAATACTTGTATTTAAAATTTCAAAAACATATTGAATTATTTATAATATGATATAATTTCAAAATCATTTTTTTATAAATTTTTGTTCTATGTGAACATGGAATTAGCATAAAGGGCTAAGCTAATATAAATTCATATAAAAATATTATGATTATTATTGTTAATGATACTAATTTTATTTTATTTATTTTTTTAAAATCATGAGTGGCAATTTAAAACCTATACAAATGTTATTAAAATTCTGTTTTTAGGTGAAAATGTTAAATACATTTTTTAATGTAATTGAAATATTACAATATTTTATAAATAAATGTACAAAATTTAAACATTATATATAATGTTAAAATTCTGTTTATATGTATAATGTTTAAATTTCGTGCTAACCATATAATTCCTTCAAAATATTATATAAAAATTTTAAAAATTTAAATGTTAATATATAGATACTTCATTAATTTGCATGTTTTTTTTTTCCTTCTCTTTATTTAAAATGCTAATTTCGTTAACTGTAAACTGTAAACCGCCATGGCCGAAGCTTTCCGGCCAGGCCAGCAATGCCGACATGGTAACCGGATCAAAAATGCGTTTTTGAGCGCCATGCTTTATTCATGGCGCCAACCTTCTTCTCTTCTTCAACCTTTTATATCCTTCTAGCCCCCTAACTCTCCTTCACCATCCAATCTAATGAACATTTCATCAATTTCAAAATGAGCCATCTTCTTCTACTCCCCCTCTTCTTCTTCTTCCATCTATCTTACAGTCAAATTCTTCCACTAAACATCTTAAACTCCACCATTAAAGTTTCCAGCCATGAAACCTACATCATCCACGTCCGGAAACCAAATTCTGTTCAAACATTCAATGCAGAAGATCATCGAAACTACCACAAATCCTTCCTTCCCACCCGCTCCTTAACCTCCGGCGAACCCCGCCTCATCTACTCCTACCGAACCGCTATTAGTGGCTTCGCCGCAAAACTCACTTCCGACGAAGCCATCGCCATTGAGAAACTCGATGGCGTCCTCCACACTATTCCCGACAGACTCCTTTCTCTCCATACAACCCACATCTCCGATTTCTTAAACCTCCGCCCCAAAAGCTGCTTCATGAAAGACACCAACTTTGGCAAAGGATCCATCATCGGAATCCTCGACACAGGTATTTTCCCCACCCATCCTTCTTTCAAAGACACCGGAATCTCTCACCCGCCACCCAATAAATGGAAAGGTCATTGCGAATTCAAACCTGCAATGTGCAATAACAAAATCATTGGAGCTAAATCTTTCGTCCATGGCCGAAAGGACCCGCCTTTTGATTCCGACGGTCACGGCACTCATACCGCCAGTATCGCCGCCGGTTGGCTCGTCAAAAACGCCGGCGTGTTGGGAAACGCAAGGGGAACGGCTTCAGGGTTAGCCCCCGCCGCCCATCTCTCTATCTACAGAGTATGTCAAGCTAACGGTTGTTTAGCTAGCGATGTGTTGGCTGGTATCGATCAAGCTATATCTGACGGCGTTGATGTCCTCTCTATCTCTCTCGGCAGCACCGCCATTCCTTTCTATGACGATGCCGTCGCCATTGGAGCCTTGGCAGCCGTTGAAAGAGGGATTTTTGTTAGCAGTTCAGGAGGGAACGCCGGCCCTATTCCGGCTACTGTGGAGAACGACGCTCCATGGATGCTTACTGTCGGCGCCGACTCAACAGACAGATCAATCCGCGCCACCGTTCTGCTGGGAAGCGGAGAAGAGTTCAACGGCCAATCTTCTTACCAGCCCGTTGGATTCACCTCTGTTTTACTTCCGATAGCTTACCCTGGAGCACGAGGAGGATCCAGAGCAAAGACCTGTAGCGATGGATCTCTGAATCGACTCAACGTCAGGGGAAAAATCGTTCTTTGCCACACCGGCGGATCGAACACCAGTATAGAAAAAGGCGCCGTTGTTACGAAAGCCGGCGGTGTTGCCATGATTCTCGTTAACGATGAGATGCGGCGGAGCACGGTAGAAGCTGGAGTACATGTGCTGCCGACGGCCGCCGTCGGGTATTCCGAGGGCGCTAGGATTGTCGAATACGTTACATCGACGGCAAACCCGACGGCCACGATTCATTTCAAGGGGACGGTCTACGGGGCATCGCCGGCCCCGGCGGTGGCGGATTTCTCCGGACGTGGTCCCAGCGCGGTAAATGAGGGAATCTTGAAACCGGATATTGTGGGTCCCGGAGTGAATGTGGCGGCGGCGTGGCCGTTTCCGGTTGGTCCGCCAGCTCTCGATGCCGGAAACTTGACATTGCCGACGTTTAATATGGTGTCGGGGAGTTCGGCGTCAGCGGCTGTGTTGGCCGGAGTGGCGTCTTTGTTGAAACTTTCGCATCCAGATTGGTCGCCGGCGGCCATAAAGTCAGCGATGATGACGACGGCGGATCTGTTGGATAGGGACGGAGGGGTGATTGTCGACGAGACGCTCGGCGACGCAGGATACTTCGCCCTCGGCGCCGGGCATGTGAACCCGACCCGAGCCGATGACCCGGGACTTGTTTATGACCTGCAACCTGGAGATTATGTTCCATATCTTTGTGGACTGGGCTATACCGATAAACAGGTATATATAAAATAGCGGGGTTTGGATAAATATATTTAAAAAATTTAATTTAATTATAAAAAATTTATGTTAATTTATATAATATTTAAATCTCTAAATTACCTAAAAATATCACTAATATTAACTCAATTAAAATAGGACATGTCCGCTAACAAACTAACAGAAAATAAATCATTATAAACTACCACTAGGGCTTCCTTTGGAATTGTTTTTTTACTTCTTTATGAAGTTGTTGTAGAAAAAATAAAATTTTAAAACTATTGTAAAAACCAACTTCTAGTACAAAAATTATGGTTATGATATAAAAAGTAAGACAATAAGAAGGGTTTAGGGAATCACAAGTAACTTTTTTAAACCTTAAATTCTAGTATTAGATATAAAAATATAAAATTCTTATATCTAATACTAGAATTTAAGGTTTAAAAAGTTACTTGTGATTCCATTTTTAATTTTCTCAACTTATCAATTATCTTATTATCATAATTCTTCATTTAGGAGTTATTTGGTTTGTTGAAGAAGGACTGCAACGTAAAAGAAATACATAATATTTGAATGCTTTGGAGTTGTTTGGATGTGAATGTAATTATTTTTTTGGGGGGATTTACAAACATACCACCGTATATCACTTTATTTGCATATTAACACTTAAAACCTAAATATTATATGTATACCACCCATAGATCAAAGATGGGTGCTAGAAATGAAATATTAAAGTTTATATGATAGTATCATATGGGTGGTATAAATGAAATATAGGAGTGATATATTTGATATTAAAGTTGTATATGGGTGGAATGGATGAAATATTTAAGTTTTGGGCATAAAATATGTAAATATAGTGATATGCGATGGTGTGCATGTAAATCCCCTTATTTTTCTTATTTGGCTTGAAGTAAAATGAATGTAACATAAAGTTCGAAGATGATAGTGGTTAGTGGCCAGTAATGGTGGTGGTGATCGGCAATGGGGCCATAGGAGTAGTGGTGGCAAATGGCGGTGGCCGACAATGATGCTAGCTAGCTACTAGCAATGGCTGATGAAGGTACGTGGCGGCGGGTTATAGTCAACATTAGTGGAGGCTAGCAAAGGATATTGTCGGCGGCGATAGCGGAAGAAGAAGTATGGTGCATTTAAAAGTGATGACATCCTCTTTCCGCAAAGTGATTCTCATCATAATTTTTTTAGTTAAGCATATTAAATACATCAAAATTCAAGAATCCTAGCCAACATATGTTCGCTAGCAATAACTATGGCATATGCAAATGAAATCAATGATTAATTATAACTTTGGATGCTATGTTGATGATTTGAAATTGCTTATTTACAAGCTTCAAATATATATGTGGTGATTTTGTTGGTGTTTCTAAAACATTTTAAATAGGACATGTCCGCTAACAAACTAACAGAAAATAAATCATTATAAACTACCACTAGGGCTTCCTTTGGAATTGTTTTTTTACTTCTTTATGAAGTTGTTGTAGAAAAAATAAAATTTTAAAACTATTGTAAAAACCAACTTCTAGTACAAAAATTATGGTTATGATATAAAAAGTAAGACAATAAGAAGGGTTTAGGGAATCACAAGTAACTTTTTTAAACCTTAAATTCTAGTATTAGATATAAAAATATAAAATTCTTATATCTAATACTAGAATTTAAGGTTTAAAAAGTTACTTGTGATTCCATTTTTAATTTTCTCAACTTATCAATTATCTTATTATCATAATTCTTCATTTAGGAGTTATTTGGTTTGTTGAAGAAGGACTGCAACGTAAAAGAAATACATAATATTTGAATGCTTTGGAGTTGTTTGGATGTGCATGTAATTATTTTTTTGGGGGGATTTACAAACATACCACCGTATATCACTTTATTTGCATATTAACACTTAAAACCTAAATATTATATGTATACCACCCATAGATCAAAGATGGGTGCTAGAAATGAAATATTAAAGTTTATATGATAGTATCATATGGGTGGTATAAATGAAATATAGGAGTGATATATTTGATATTAAAGTTGTATATGGGTGGAATGGATGAAATATTTAAGTTTTGGGCATAAAATATGTAAATATAGTGATATGCGATGGTGTGCATGTAAATCCCCTTATTTTTCTTATTTGGCTTGAAGTAAAATGAATGTAACATAAAGTTCGAAGATGATAGTGGTTAGTGGCCAGTAATGGTGGTGGTGATCGGCAATGGGGCCATAGGAGTAGTGGTGGCAAATGGCGGTGGCCGACAATGATGCTAGCTAGCTACTAGCAATGGCTGATGAAGGTACGTGGCGGCGGGTTATAGTCAACATTAGTGGAGGCTAGCAAAGGATATTGTCGGCGGCGATAGCGGAAGAAGAAGTATGGTGCATTTAAAAGTGATGACATCCTCTTTCCGCAAAGTGATTCTCATCATAATTTTTTTAGTTAAGCATATTAAATACATCAAAATTCAAGAATCCTAGCCAACATATGTTCGCTAGCAATAACTATGGCATATGCAAATGAAATCAATGATTAATTATAACTTTGGATGCTATGTTGATGATTTGAAATTGCTTATTTACAAGCTTCAAATATATATGTGGTGATTTTGTTGGTGTTTCTAAAACATTTTAAATAGGACATGTCCGCTAACAAACTAACAGAAAATAAATCATTATAAACTACCACTAGGGCTTCCTTTGGAATTGTTTTTTTACTTCTTTATGAAGTTGTTGTAGAAAAAATAAAATTTTAAAACTATTGTAAAAACCAACTTCTAGTACAAAAATTATGGTTATGATATAAAAAGTAAGACAATAAGAAGGGTTTAGGGAATCACAAGTAACTTTTTTAAACCTTAAATTCTAGTATTAGATATAAAAATATAAAATTCTTATATCTAATACTAGAATTTAAGGTTTAAAAAGTTACTTGTGATTCCATTTTTAATTTTCTCAACTTATCAATTATCTTATTATCATAATTCTTCATTTAGGAGTTATTTGGTTTGTTGAAGAAGGACTGCAACGTAAAAGAAATACATAATATTTGAATGCTTTGGAGTTGTTTGGATGCATGTAATTATTTTTTGGGGGGATTTAAATACATATCATCGTATATCACTTTATTTACATATTAGCACTTAAAACTTAAATATTATATGTATACCACCCATAGATCAAAGATGGGTGCTAGAAATGAAATATTAAAGTTTATATGATAGTATCATATGGGTGGTATAAATGAAATATAGGAGTGATATATTTGATATTAAAGTTGTATATGGGTGGAATGGATGAAATATTTAAGTTTTGGGCATAAAATATGTAAATATAGTGATATGCGATGGTGTGCATGTAAATCCCCTTATTTTTCTTATTTGGCTTGAAGTAAAATGAATGTAACATAAAGTTCGAAGATGATAGTGGTTAGTGGCCAGTAATGGTGGTGGTGATCGGCAATGGGGCCATAGGAGTAGTGGTGGCAAATGGCGGCAGCCGAAAATGATGCTAGCTAGCTATTAGAAATGGCTGATGAAGGTATGTGGCGGCGGGTTATAGTCAACGTTAGTGGAGGCTAACGAAGGATATTGTCGGTGGCGATAGCGGAAGAAGAAGGATGGTGCCTTTAAAAGTGATGACTCCCTCTTTCCGCAAAGTGATTCTCATCATAATTTTTTTAGTTAAGCATATTAAATACATCAAAATTCAAGAATCCTAGCCAACATAAGTTCGCTAGCAATAACTATGGCATATGCAAATGAAATCATGGATTATAACTTTGGATGCTATGTTGATGATTTGAAATTGCTTATTTACAAGCTTCAAATATATATGTGGTGATTTTGTTGGTGTTTCTAAAACATTTTAAATAGGACATGTCCGCTAACAAACTAACAGAAAATAAATCATTATAAACTACCACTAGGGCTTCCTTTGGAATTGTTTTTTTACTTCTTTATGAAGTTGTTGTAGAAAAAATAAAATTTTAAAACTATTGTAAAAACCAACTTCTAGTACAAAAATTATGGTTATGATATAAAAAGTAAGACAATAAGAAGGGTTTAGGGAATCACAAGTAACTTTTTTAAACCTTAAATTCTAGTATTAGATATAAAAATATAAAATTCTTATATCTAATACTAGAATTTAAGGTTTAAAAGATTACTTGTGATTCCATTTTTCAATTATCTTATTATCATAATTCTTCATTTAGGAGTTATTTGGTTTGTTGAAGAAGGACTGCAACGTAAAAGAAATACATAATATTTGAATGCTTTGGAGTTGTTTGGATGCATGTAATTATTTTTTGGGACCGTATATGATTCCATTTTTAATTTTCTCAACTTATCAATTATCTTATTATCATAATTCTTCATTTAGGAGTTATTTGGTTTGTTGAAGAAGGACTGCAACGTAAAAGAAATACATAATATTTGAATGCTTTGGAGTTGTTTGGATGCATGTAATTATTTTTTGGGACCGTATATCACTTTATTTACATATTAGCACTTAAAACTTAAATATTATATGTATACCACACATAGATCAAAGATGGGTGCTAGAAATGAAATATTAAAGTTTATATGATGATACCCCGATTCCGTTTGGTTGGGTCCGGAGAAATTGGGGTATATGTGCAGAAAGTTGTTTTTGAGGGTATGCCTAATTTTTGTTTTCTTTGCAAAGCTTTAGGTCATAAGAAATTGGATCGTCCTAAGCTTGTTTCAAAATCCTTTCCGGTTGTTAACTCTGTCGCCCAGGTGATTCCCCTTGTCCTTGTTTCTCCCTCTGTTCCGATTAATTCTCCTGCTTGTGATAATTCTACGGATAAGGGTGCTGTTGTTTTGGAGCGAGGAGTTTTAGATTGTCAAATTATTGTTAATGATCCGACGGTTGATGCTTTGCCTTTAGTTGTTGAGGTGGGTGAGGTCTTGCCTGATGTTGATTGTCGGGTTTGCTCGCCTGATGCTTTGGAGCCTCCTGGGGTGGCAGTGAGAGTTGTTGATCCTGTTTTATTTTCTCCTAATGTTGATATTTCCAATGGCGTTGTTGATGGTTATGTTTTGGCTCATAATAATGTGAATGTTATCGATTCTCCTCGCGTCGATGGTGCGCGCGAGGGTGTGGGTAACTGTACAGTGGATGCTAGGGAAGGTGTTGAAAGGCTGGATAGTAGTTTTGGTATAACTGAGGATGTTAATTTTGCCTTATCACCTAATGATGCACCTTTTTTTCCACCTACTTTACCGTCTACTTGTAATGGGATCTTATCGGTTAACGTTGCGGGAAATCCTGTTGAGGATCATCCTGGGGTTCTTACTCCGATCCTGGATGTGGCTGTGACTCAGGCTTGTACTCAGGTTGCAAATAATTTCATTTATGTTCCCGTCAGTTTGGTCGATACGCGAATTGTGGGCACTTCCTTAGGCGACAGTTCTGGTCTGGATATTAGGAACCATATTAATTGGTTAGACTCTTCTGATGGTGATCCTAATTCCGAATTTTCTAATGGTGGTGGTTTGGCGTCTCCAGATTTTTGTGAGGGTTCGGACCCGGGATATGATTTCACTATTGTTAATGTTAGGCCCACTATTAATGTTGGATCTCGGGGTAGAGCTCGTGGCAGGGGCAGGGGCCGCCGTAGGCGATAATATCTTGATTTTTTACTTGTCCCTGTTTCGTGCCTTTATTTTCTGTTTTGGTTGAGCGATATGCTGGTTTGTTGTGTTTTGGGCAATGATGGGTTGGGGCTCGCATCATTGAACTTCGCTGGTGGCAACCATTGTTGTGGCTCTTTCGGGTTGGTTCGTTTTGGCCGCTTTCTCCACCTTTTGGACGGTCCTTGTGTGGTTCTGTGGTGCTGGAAGCCTCTACCACTTACTGAGCCCGCGTTTTATTGTAATTTTCTCGTTATTTTTTTTCATGCTTTCTCTTATTGTAACCTTGATTTTTTGATATTAATAGATTGTTATTTGTCTATAAAAAAAAAGAGTTGGCAGGTTAAGCATTTAGACATTTCTGTGGAGTTAATTTGCTCACAACTTCATCACAACATTACGATGAGAACAAAATCGACCACATAACCATCGAAAATTTCCAAACTTTCTCTCTCATCACCAAATGTTACGATGGTGTATATGAAATGTTGCAGATAGATTTTATATCATATGATAACTTCTATGATTTGTGTCTTATTTCTTCAAAATAGAATGCTAACAATGCAAAACCTATCTAAAAAATTTAAGATTGTGGCTATCATTTATGCTTGATCAGGCTCAGGGCATAAGATCTCCAACGGAGAACTACATTTTTCACGGCAAAATACAGCAAAATTCTAAAATGTCGTGGTGCTGCTCCAATTGAACTCCATTTTAAATGCTTCTGCGAAGGTAATGATCCTTCTCCCTTTCGCGCGTTTTTCTGGTTGAGAGAGCAAAATAGCGTATGTGAACAGTGCAACGCCAATATTGACGTCACACTGTTCACCCGCAAGTAAATGGCGGAAGATTTGGCGTTCGGCTAGAGCGACCGAACGACATCAAACGCACGTTTGACGTTCTGTTGGAGATACTCTCAAAGAGGTTCTTGTACCAAATAATATGTTCTAAGATATGTAATTTGATTCTTTGGAATTTGCTTGCACAAGATATTTTCATGCATATGTAACTATCTTGATTCCTTGCTTGGAATGTTCTTTATTAATTTTTGAACTTGAAAAATCAGCCTTTTAATTAAAATGTTCAATTCATTATTGCTTGGGAGTTAATAAATAAATTTTCCTTTGAACAACTTATGCAATCAAATCTAGTGGTTTGATCAATTTAAGAGGCACAAAGTCAAGCTTGTGAATGGAAAGCTTTCAGAATAGTCAATAATACTAATCAAGAAAATATATGTCACCTTCCTTTTATCAAGGTTAGATTGCAGTGATAAAATAGTTTTCTAAAGCATCATAAATACAAAGAAATAATCCATTTTAATCTTCACAAGTTTTTAATTATTTTTTATTTAATTTGAAGTCCGTTTGGGGCGGCTGCAACATTTTGTAAACTTAATTATAAAACTATTGTGAAAAAAATAACTTTCTTAAAAATGTTGTAGAAAGCATCTTCTAAGCACAAAATTTCTTGCAAGTAGTGAAAAAGTAATGACCAAATCAAAATTATGATTGTGATATGAAAAGCAAAGCAATAAGCTGAAGCCTTAGATTTTATTTGAGATATTTGTCTTACTACTTTCTAATATAACATTTTTTGTATAAAAATTTCATGAACTTTGAAATTTTTATAATAGAAATTTGTTTAGAAAGAAGTAAAAAAGTTGTACCAAAGCAGTAAGAAAGCTTCTTGAACTAAAGCCTTAGGCTTAGTTGGGATAACTTTCTTACTACTTTGCTTTTTAGAATGTTACCATGATTTTTGTTTGATCATTGTTTACAACTGACTTTATAAAAAACTGCATCTTAATCTGAAATTACATACTACTTATACAAATTATTCCTTTTATAAATCTTTAGTATTGACCTCCACCAATAATACAGCTTTAACTTTTGGTGGCACAAGGAAAAGTTTGAATAGTCTAATTAGACATGACAAAAAAATATTCAAATGATTTTTAAGTTCATAAAGGTAATAAATGATTATTTTCTATTGGAATTGACAAAATAGATAAATAATTGGGGGATTTAATATTTATAAGGATCTAATTTTTTATATTTACTTTATATCTTCACAATTATAATTAAGAGTGCAGGTAGTCGAGCCAGCTATTGCGCTCACGAGTCCAGCTTATTGAGCTACATATTTGAGCTCTAGTCTATACTAGAGCTCATTATTAAAACTAAAAATTCTTTAAAATAATTGAAAATTTTTAATTTAAAACTAAAAAACTGGGTTCAATATTAGAGTCATGCTCAAGTTTTTCAAAAAAGCTCGAGCAATCGAGCCAATCACAAGCCTAAAATTTTTTTAACGAGTCAAATTTGAGCTTAGTAAATGAATGTGAGTTAGTTCAAGCTAAGTAATAATCAAATAACTTGATTAGATAGGTACTCCCCTCATTTACATATTTAAGTATAATCTTTAAATTATATTACAAAGTGTCACTAATGAAAACTTATATAAAATAAAATATATTTTTTCATGCATATATTTTAATATGATTTAATAATAAGAGTGCTTTATAAATAACTGTAAGAATTTAAATATTATTAGATATGCAAATAAATTGTTATAAATTTATATAAACCCCCCTAAATAATTTAAGCATTTAAAATTTAACCATTTATACCTGAAAAAAAAACTCTTTCCCCTATACTTTCCTTTTTTAATTATCATTCTTCTAAGACAAATCTTAATTTATTTTATTATTTTTTTACTAGAAGATGTTTAGGTGATCTCATTTATTTTTAGAATAAAATAAAGATTCACTCCTCCAAGAAATGTAAAAAATTTATTTCCATTTTATTTAAGCAAATTAATGGCATAATTAGTGAAAAAATATTGATTTTTCCCACTTTCATTAAACCAATTAAGTAAAATGGATCCAATTTACCTTTAAAATAAACTTATTTAAGAAATATAACAATAATTATTTTAATTTGACATATATTATAAGGGATATTCTACTAAGATTGACATTGAAGCCAAGCTCAATTAGCTCACGAGATGACTTGTTTAAAAAAATATCATTATAAGATACACTTAAAAAAAACATTAAAATTAAAATGTTCTAGTATAAATCTATTATAAAGAATTAAAAAATATATCTCACTTTCTTATATCAGGTAATTTTGAATTATTTATTTTCTAATTTATCATTCTTTTTATATTTTTATTATAATATTTGCTTGAATTACAATCATTTTGTCATTTTCATTATAAACAAAATCGACTCGAATTCATAGAATTAAGCTCGAGCTTGAGTTCGAAGTCGATTCATTAACCAAGATCAAGTTCAAGATAGCTCACATATTATTTCCCATGTTATAGAAATAATATTAAAAAATAATTGAATAAATAGAAAGAGAAAATTTTCCCTTAATTAAGCTAAGTTACCCCCAAATGTAAAACAATGACAGTAAAAAAAAAAAAACTGTAAAAAAAAATGAAAATTTGAAATGGTCATAATGAACTGATATGAAGAGCCTAACAAAAAATGGCCAGTTAATCTACCACGGTTGAATTGTCTGCGAGAATCCGTGTGAGGAAGACTGCACCATATTGAAATGGGAGGTGAGGGCCCCTCGAAGAAACACGTTGGGTCCACAGGAGAAGCTCCTTCTTCTTCATTCCTTCTTCCCTATTTAAGAAGGCAGTAGTTAGTTTGGAGCACAAAACCGTCATCTCTTCTGTTTTCTTCTTATAAAGGAAGGGGAAGGAGAAGATATCTATACATTCTTCCGCTCAACAATCTAAAAACCTCAGCTTGCATTCAATCTTCCACTTTCCATCTTCACTTCTTTCTTCTTCTTGAACCAAGAGAGGCAAAGGTTTGTTCTTTGTTTCTTCTTATCAATGGGGGTGTTTTTCTTTTTCTTTTTTGGTGATCATTTCGAAAGATTCTGGATTGATCGGGAAGCTGGCGACTTTTTCTTGGGTTCTATTTTTTTTGGGGATTTTGGGATGTTTCCCGTTTGGTAAAATGAGTTTATGTACTCTGTTGGCATTTTAGTTCTTTTGTTTTGTTTGGGTTACTGGTTTAAGTTGGAGTTATAAGATGTCAGAAGGAACTGACATGAGGGAATTTGTTTTAGTTTCAATTGATTGAGGTTGAAAAAACTTGAAGAACCCTTTTAGAATTTTTGATTTTTTTATGTAGAGAAATCTAAAATCATTACTGGTAGAGGAAAATGAATGATCTTTTGAAAGGCCAATCCTTTTCTTGTTTGTTTCCATTGTTAATGAAATTTCCTCTCTCCATTTCTCTCTCTCTCTTTCTCTCTAATTTATAATGAATTTGTACTGATCTTTGTCTTACAGGATTAACGAGAAGAGAAAGATATCATCTTGGCGTTCATCGATCAAGCATTTATTTCAATCAAAATGGGATTGGCATTTTCATGTCCTGGCTGTGAAACCAATCAATTAGATGAGAACTTTGATGCCGTCATGGGCTCCATTAGTTTTAGCGGAGACTATGCAAAATCCAATATTTGTTCTGGAAATAACAATCACTGTGGTGATTCAGACCCCAATCTGCTGAAGGCTTTTGGCTCTGGAAGATTTATCATTGGTGGATCCTTAAATTTAAAAAGAAAGGAAGCCGATCCAATCCACCTGGAAACAAATATCTCATTTAAGAACTCTGAAATCTCCACAAAATCAAACACAGCTAAGCGCACAAGGTTCAGTGAAGAAGCATCGGAGACACCCCGGGCAGAGCCCGGTAGCCCGAAACATGACGCCGCTGTTAAGTTGCAGAAGGTTTACAAAAGCTTCAGAACAAGAAGACAACTTGCTGATTGTGCTGTTTTGGTTGAGCAGAAATGGTATAACCACGAGCAATTTCCTTTTTTATTCCTTCTTGTTATCTAGTATCTTACTTGTTCTATATGTTGTTCTCTTTCTTCAAGCATCTTATATTGCATCTTTGACTCGGCCAACTGCAGGTGGAAGTTGTTGGATTTTGCATTGCTTAAGAGAAGCTCTGTGTCCTTTTTTGATATTGATAAGCCTGAGTCAGCGGTCTCCAAGTGGTCAAGAGCTAGAACCAGAGCTGCTAAGGTATGCACGGTGCCCTTCTGATTAAATGATAAAGTTTTGATTTTTCTTTTTCCTTTTGCCAGTATGAATCTATATAGCTTTTTTGCTGAAATTTATATTCATTTTCTGATTCGGGATCTATCTTTGCAGGTTGGTAAAGGTTTATCTAAGAATGCAAAAGCCCAGAAGCTAGCTCTGCAGCACTGGCTGGAGGCGGTATGTACTAAAACTACAATGACCTTCGCTTTTTCTTGTTCTCTAATCTGCAACTTGTTTTTTACATTCTTTTTTCTTTATTTGTTCTGCAAACAGATTGACCCGCGCCATCGATACGGCCATAATCTCCATTTCTACTATGATTGCTGGCTTCGTTGCGAGAGCAAGCAGCCCTTCTTCTACTGGTAGGCTGAAGAAGCTTTTCTTCCTTGCTCAAAGATTTGATTTTTGAACATTTATTCCATCATTTATCCTATCTTTGTGCTGAGGAGGAACCATCAATAATTTGCAGGCTTGATGTGGGAGAGGGGAAGGAGGTCAATTTAGAAGCTTGTCACCGATTAAAGCTTCAACAGCAGTGTATCAAGTATCTTGGCCCGGTGAGTATTGATTCTGTAAATCACATCGATCGAGTGAAGAGGAAATTTTCGTCTTACAGAAATTTTAATATCAGTTATCTCTTGTTCTGCAGAAAGAAAGGGAGGCCTATGAAGTTATTGTTGAAGAAGGTAGACTCATTTATAAGAAGAGCAGAGAGATACTGGACACAACTGGAGGTCCAAAAGATTCAAAATGGATATTTGTACTGAGCACATCAAAGAATTTGTATGTTAGCTTGGTAGGTATCAACTCGTGAACTATGCACTGGATTTTTTTTTTTTTTATGAATTGATCTGATAAATTTCTTGCTGATTGCAGAAGAAGAAAGGTCGGTTTCAGCACTCGAGTTTTCTTGCAGGAGCTGCTACGTCTGCTGCTGGAAGGCTAGTTGTTAAAAATGGGATTTTGAAGGTAAAAGACTAAAAAGTTTACACTTTTTGTAAATGTGGATTCCATTCTCGATATGTTGCCATGTTGGAGTACTAATTTTATTCCTTCTGATAGGCTGTTTGGCCTCACAGTGGCCATTACCGTCCAACCGAAGAAAATTTTGAGGAGTTTATGAGCTTCCTCGAGGAAAACAACGTCTCTCTCTCTGATGTTAAGGTTAATATTCTTACTTAAAACACATCTTTCTTCTTGTTCACAATGATTTCATGGCTCAAATCCTTTCTCTAATCCATGCAGAAAGCCCCAGAAGAAGGTGATGATGAATGGGGAAGCGTTCTCCGAAGCCGAAATTCCGAATCAGACTTGACAAGTTCAAATATCTACACCGAGTCTCAACTCGAATCCGACTCGCCAAATTCCTTCCATGAATTGGAAACTGAAGCTGCAGCGCCTAAGGATTCAATTTCTACCAATGAAAGAGACCAAGATGAGAAGAGAACTTTCACAGATGACCAAGCAAGTGAAGGAGAAGAAGAGAAGGGATCGGATAGCAGCACAATATTGTCAAATCAGAATTATGATACACCCGAACAATCTGAAGATGAGTCTGCGGAGAGCTCATCGCCCTCCAAAAGCCAGTTAATCTTCCACAAACCAAGTCTTTTCATAGAGGAGAAAGAAAATGGCGATGAAGAACCAATACAAGAAGAGCTCATCATTGAAAGGATGAGCTCAAATAAGGTGATCAAGCCATGCCAATTGGGAACAAAATTACCTTTCAAGTGGACCACAGGAGCTGGAGCTCGCATCGGTTATATGAGGAACTACCCCTCAGAATTACAATTCAGTGCGCTCGAACAAGTCAGTCTCTCTCCAAAAGCTGCTGGTTTTTCAAGGCCGTTTTCGTCCCCTCGAGCTGTATCAAGCCCTTGGCCAGTGACACAAGAAACATCTAAATTTAACATTGAGACATAGTAGATTATTCTTATAGCATGAATCGAAATTCATAGGCAAGCTTAGATTATTTGTTTTGATTCTCTTCATTTCTTAAAGAGGTGAAATAAGATATTACATCTGTAACATTTTTTTTTCTCAGTAAATACTGAAAAGAGGGATATACATCTTACTTCAAAAAGAAATTGAGATTTCTTAACTTAATTTTGGGTATTACAGTTTCAATGGTACTGCTTCTGGTCATCTCATTTGGAACTGTTGCTGGATTTTCTTTACTTTAAGCAGCACAAATTTCTTGACTTCAAGATTTTTGTTTGAAAATGTTGAATGATTATGGATATCCTACTTTGAAGTTCATTGGATCTGCCCTCATCAATGACTAGCTGATCAATAGTATGCAGAAACTACTCTGATCTCTAGTAATATTGAGAACTATTTTCTGTAATAGTTTTGGATGAGTGTAACTTTGTTTTTGAATCAAAGGAAACTCCCAGTGATGAAAAGCTGAAGCAACTTAAATACAAAACAAAATCACACTGTAATGTCTCAATGAAATCAGAATAATGCTTTTGGAAGCACTCTCTTGAAGCTTAAAAAAGGGCTGTTTTGATAGCAGGATTTAGGCTGGATTTGAGATAGATTTGAGCTAATCCAGCCAAAAGGCCTAAAATGCAAAACCAACACCGCAAATGAAATCCGCCTTAAACTGAAAATTCTACCTTTTCTTGCTAAATCCTGTATTTCTGAAATTCTATTTTTTGCCGGATTTACGAAATCCATTGGCTCCAGAAGAAGAGTCCGCTTGTTAAATCCGCTCTATTGGCAAACAGTCGCACGAGATTTAATAGGATTTATCATGAATGTTACCAAACAGTTTTCAGGATTTCGGCCCCTTAGGATTTCCGAAATCTATATTTAGAGGATTTACGAAATCAATCTATATTTAGAGGATTTACGAAATCCTACTTAAATCAAATCCTATGTGCTACCAAACAGTTCCTAGGATTTAGGGCTCATATGGTTGTAGACCAAAAATGTATTTTAGAATATCATAATAAAGTTTTCATTATGTGAAATCATCATATATTTGAAAATTTTATGAAGTAGAAAACTCATGATGATTTCTAATTAAATCAATCCAAATAATAAAAACTAACATTTTATATATATGATCCCATTTACAAACAATCAAATGATATATATATATATATATATATTGATTCATGCAACTATAACTCACTCAACAACCTAGATAGATTGTGGGAGACACCTGCTATTGAACTTTGATCATTTAAATTATGCCTAAAAATGAGATTTAATCACTTGACTTTTTTAAACTAACATATTTTCTAATTATTTGATGTGATTCCAAACTAAATACTTTCATGTACTTTATTGTCTTCCCCTTAATGAGTGGGAGTGACACATTATAATTTGTAATCAAGAGATAATTTTAACTCGACTATCCAATATGAGCTACTAAACACGTCTGAGAGATCGACTCACAAGGTCCAACACAAATTAAGACAAATTGCCCAAAGAATGCTAAAATTTGCCTAGAGTACTAATTAACCTACTATGTGTTCTCACCATTAGAATTAGCCAAATTTCATAACTTAACGTAGACTCGAAGCATGATTCACTTGTTATGTATTTAGTCATATCAGAGTTCAACCTTTATATTTTTTTTTATAGAATTACACTATGTAGTCAATTAAGTAACTCTATTTTAGCTATGGCGGGTACATAAAATGTCTCATCAAAATCACTTTAACATTCTCTTCAATATATTTTCCTGTGAATTGTTTCTTTGTAGTTTGTTTATACTTGCCATTTTTAGGCCTCGTTTATGTGGCTTTCTTATAGGTTCTCAAAGCAATTTAGAAAATTATTTTAAGAATCATTAAGAATCTCAAAGCAATTTAGAAAATTATTTTAAGAATCAATAAGAAAGCCTTCCCAAACGAAACCTTAGTCGAAGGAATCCAACCTAGTTCATTGTAGATCAAATTGTTAAGAGAAATATTGAGATACAACATCTATCTCATGCTTATTGGTTATTGGTTTGATCCATTTCTCTTGCGAACTTTTGAAATATTTTCACATAGGGCTTTGAATCCAATAAGAGTGGAAGCCCAAAAGGAATGATTGCTGTGTAAAACACACCATAATTTGAAATCTTAAAATTTATCATTATTGCTACTGTCTACAATTATAAAAAGCTTAAAAACAATAGATATTTATTTATAGTCTATTGAAATTAGTAAGTTTAATAGAAGTGATAATTGTCTATTAAAATTTTTATTTATTTTAAAATGAGTGTAACATATAATAATTTATATTTTTTATGTATAATAACTTTATTGTTTGTTGATTAATAACTTTTGAATATTTTTTGGGAATGTGGAATATTTAAATGTTAATTATTTAAAAAGTCATCATTCAATTTTATAAATTTTAAATGTAAATATGAGTGCTTGATAGCTTAATTGCACATCCTTTAATCTTATTCATCTTACATTAAATTTTTGCTTCCACAAAGAAATTTTATTTTTTAAAATCATTAAAATATTAAAAATATTATAAAATTGTTAGCTTTTAGTTTCAATATTTTGTTAACTTTTAATAATGTAAGGATTGTTTGGCATCACTTTTTATTTTTATTTTAAAGAAAAATTATTTTATTTATTATTTTTAATTTAATTTATTTATTATTAAGAAAATAAAAAATAAAATTATTTTTAAAAACAATCAAAATAATCTTTTTGATATTATAAAAAATTCATCAAAGTCATGACCTCTGTTGACTACTACTAATTATTAACGCCTCTTGTTACTATTACTAGGGGTGCACATGAGTCAAGTCAGCTCGTGAGATTATTTGAGCTCATTAAGTCAAATTTATCAAACTTCTAGATCTACTTCGAGCAATTTTTTGAGCTCAGGAAATAATCAAGTCTGAATTTAATGAATAATGGAGCCACCGAGCCAGAGTTCGATCAAAATATTGCTCGACTCAGCAGCTCGTCGATAGTTCGAATAGCCGGTCCGCAGAGACAAAATTAAAAATCAAATCAGACGTATGAGAGATTATTACGTGCGGTCACCATATTGTCCGGAGTCCAATCAGGTCGCGAACATGTTGATACAATAATTTTTTTTTTGAGCACATTAGCCAGCAAGTAACTAAAATATTGCAACTAAAATCAATGCAAGATAAAAGAGAAGAATGCGCTATAAATCATATAAAGAAATATATGCATTAATATGTATACTGATAATCTATATAAATTTATCCCGTTATAGTTCATCATATCTCAAATACATTTACATCGATCATCAATCATCAATCACCGTATCAATAATAGTAAATAGTATTAGTGTCAGTCACAATATTATTCGTAGCAGTGTTGGTATCAATATTCAAATATTTAACGAGTGCATCTTAAGCGTATATTGTTCATGCAGTTATTGCTAAAACAAAATCTATAACAAGAATGATTGACAAATATGATCTAAAGACTTTTCTATCTCATCTCTATTCTTCCTCTCTTTTAATTTCTTTTTAGCCAAGCAACCAAGTGAAGTAGTCAATGGGATGAGGCAGGGATGTATATATATTGTTTATGGCCTAACGCCGTAGTGCTCATCAGATTAGTGCCAAAGTGAACTACTTCAAAATTTTCATATTTTTCAAACAAATTTATTTCACATGTTTGAATTATTACACTATAAATATTAGACCTTTCTATTAAGGTTGCCAAAATGAGTTGACGAGTTATGTTTGAGTTCGACCCAAATTGACCTCATCAAAATCTAATCAACTTCAATTTGACCATTTAATAATATGTCAAAAAGACCAACCCAATGTAAACCACTAGTAACTGGATTGACCCAAATTCGTCCCGTTAACTTGTTTTGATTATAAAAGATTTTTTTTTTTTATGACTTATTAGTTGTAAAATTTATGATATTTGATCAACAATAAAAAGATTATACGTATAAAAAAATAATAAAAAAGATATTAAACCAATTATTTTTAAAATCATAAGCGCGTTCACAGATCAATCCGAATCAAATATGTTTAATAATTAGGATGAAATCATCAACTCGAACCCGATCCATTTATTAAATCGGTTTACCCAAATCTAAATTTTTTTGGCCAGATTCTAATCAAATTGATAGATCAAGTCATGTTTTGATACTCCTACTTACTATCTCTTTACTCTTATGCACTACATTATCTACTACGGCACTATAAATTTATCCTTCTTAGCTATTCTATTTTGGTTTTATAATTTTTTTATTGACTTATAATTTTGGGCATCTCTTTTATTTATTTATTTAAGCTAATCCTGCAATCTATTTTTAATTAATTTACTGATTTAAGAGTGTCAATATTTCTGGAAAAAATATAAATTCTAATGACGCAAAAATAAGTTTTTTCTCTCCTGACATTTTTTACATCGTAATTATAAGATTAATAATTAAAATAAATTATTATTTGACTTTATTTTATTTAATTTTTTTCCGAAGAAAACTAGCCCTTCCGAGCAAGCCCCTCTTTGTACAAAGCCAGCCCCGATCCACATCTCTCCAGCACGGTGAAGGCTTGCCTGTAAGTTCTCCTCCACCAAATCCTGAATCCTTTTTAGTATTCTACAAAAGATTAGATTTTGGTTACTCTGAACAGAAATTTTGTTTCTTTGCATTTGGTGAAATGTGGTATTGGCAAGTGAGGTTGCCCTTTGTCTCATTTTGTTAAGTTTGATTGTTCTAGCTTCGCTTCACTGTCTGCATTTGATCTTATTCTTTCTTGTTTGATGATACATTGAAAAAAATCCAACTTTTATAAGCGTTTGCTGCGTTTCTATCATTTTACAACAAAAAAAGTGATTTTTGTGAGGTTTTCTGGTGCTTTATTGTTCTTTTCTTTCCATATACATAGGCTAGATACTGATGCATGAAACTCCTAATGCTGTTGGGTAAAAGCCTGGCACCTTAGATGGCTTTGCTTTATGGAACTTTATACATTACACCAAACAAAGTAAACTCTGTTTAGGGTTTACTTGAGATATTTGGTAACCGACCGCAATAGGTGTTGGAGGGTAAATTAGCCAGCACTGAAAAGCACTCCAACAACAGTCATTTTCACTCTACTACACTACACAGCCAGCATAATCAATCTTATCCATTGAAGCAGTCCAACATAATCAGTTTTGCTAATGAAGTTGTTTGAATATTTCAACATACTCCACCTATCGGTCACACATTTCCCTTTATGGCACCTAGAGGAAGGAATAAGGGTCGGCTTTATCATTCTCCTCACGGTCGCAGTCACGGCTAACCAGGGAACATTTTTTAGTGGTGGACATTTTACTAACTTCAATAGGGGAGTCAAATCTCATTCTTCACATCATGAATGTTAGATTTGTGGAAAAAAATTGTTACTCGGTTGCTGGCTACCAACACCGTAACAACCTCAACTACAGTCCCTCCATTCCTTCACAACATGTTTTATTTGTTGGTTGCCTCCACACCACAACAATTGCCAATTAGAATCTAGAGTCACTTACCATCTTGCTTTAGATCCCGATACTCTTCAAAATCACTCTTCGTATCAAGGGTGAGAACAATTTTTCCTGGTAATGATCAATCCAAGCCCATTTCTCAAACCGATCAAGAGCTCCTCGCCACCCCACCGCATAAGCTTCTCCTTCCAAACATTTTTTTTTTAATTTTTTATCTTTCGCATAATCTTCTCTGTTCATAAACATTCCTCCGATGATGCCTTTTCCATCACCTTTTATGCCATAGATAATTATGGTTTCTCATGTTTCAGGTTGATCTTGGCTAAGCAATGTTGATGAGTAATCTATTTCATGATAGTGTAATTCCTTTCAGTTTATGTCATTTCAGAATTTTATCACCTAAACACAATTAAATGATATAGCTAATTTAATTATCCTTTGAACCTATTTTATTTATAATGTCCTTAGTAAATTTCTTACTATTATTGTGATGTTTTACCAAGTTTCTAGTCCTCCACTTTGGATATTTAAAAGTTTCCTACAAGCATGTTCTTATGGTTTGCATATTGGATCATGTCTAATACTACTCGGGTCCTCTAAGGAGATCTGAAGTGTTCTAAGCCATGTCAGAATACTCAAGGAGAGGATGTTTCTCCTCTCCTTTCATGAGTATCCCTTATATGATCGAGGCGAGTAATCAAGGTGTGACAATTGCTGACCTCTCATTCTCTCCCTTTCCTTTTTCTCATATGAATTCCTTTATTATCATGACATGTTAAAAACAACAATAGTTGTCCGGTGAAAAGTGCATAGATTTTGTTTCTACATACAAAATATTTTAACTCCTTTGTAAAAGTACAAAATTCTTCCTTTATTGAGTCTTGGTTGCAAATTTTTTGAAATTTTGGGGCAAATTCGTCTCATGACTACCCATGATTATAGGCCTAATCTAATATGATAATTACAATGAGACATATTACAATAGGTGGTATTTGTCATAATACAGATGAGCTTGATCATGATGATGAGTTATCAAAAATCAAGTCTGTTGTTGAGTTTGAATTGTAATTATGCCTTAAACTATTGTAATATATAGGTTCGTTGCTATATTTTGTATTTATTTAATGTTCAACCATATCAAACCACAAAGCATCAAAACATTTTTATTTAGCTTCTTTACGATCCACTTATTAAGCAAGTTCTTGTCCACTAATAAATAGTTTTTTTTTGTTTAATTTTGTATTTCCCTATATTGTCAGTATTTTTGAATTTCTACGAGTTGTGTGCATTTGTATAGGTGCAAAACTTCCTTTGCAATATGATGGTTATGAATTATTATTTTTATGATTTCAAATTTTTAGCATTGGTAAACATGGTGTTTTTGGAGATTGAAATGAAAGGAAACGTAGTTGTTCCTCCCGATCAGCTAGATTCCAAAGGTCTTCTACTTCGTAAAGGTATAATCCTCCGTCTGCTTGATGACATTGCATGTAAGAAAGCATCAAAGGAACACGGCTACTATGTCGCAGTCACCACTCTAAACTATGTAGCTGAAGGTCAAGTTCACGAGCTTACTGGTGAAGTCATCTTTCCAGTATCTTTCAGTTGCACCACTGTGAAACCTTGTAAGGGTGAGATCTTAGCTGGCACCATTGATAAGGTTCTGAAGCATGGCATATTTCTCAAATCTGGGCCGATACAAAATATTTTTCTCTCAGAAAAGATGATGAAAGATTTCAAATTCAGCATGGCTGAAGAGCCAATGTTTGTGAATGAGGATCAACATTCAACAATGGAGAAAGGAACCAAGGTGAGGTTCAAAGTTCTTGGGATTAAGTGGATTGAATGGGATAGAGGGTTCCAAATGCTGGCAACTCTTGCAGGTGATTTCCTTGGACCTATTTGAGCCTATGTATGCTCAGTTGTTGGAATTTTGGCTCAACTTTTGAAATCACTATAATATTATATAGATTTCCTCATAGCAGGTTGTAAATACTCTCATAGAAGCTTTATGTTCTTCTATTTCTTTCATGTAAGGGATATATGTCTGTACCTTAGCAGCTACGTTTTTTGAAGCAAAGGATAGTTTGTGTAATTGATTGTTTGGTTCTCTTAAAATTATGCTTTCTTTGTTGGAAAAGTTTTTATTTCAAAATTTTTAGATTCAAATTTGATTAGAATGGATTGAATGAGACAGATGATACACAAATGAAGCTTCAAAAGCATAGATTTCTGTAATGAACACTGTAGATTTCTGTAATGAACACTGTATTGTTCTTACACAGAAACCTCTAGAAAAATCTTATAATGAAATCTCTTTCAATTCATAAATCTACTGATTTATAAACCTCATTATATGTTGTATTTATACACTTAGATTTCATTTGGGACGATTTTCTTACTGATTCTTAAAATAAATTTTTAATACAAAAATTAAAATTTTTGTACTAAAAAGTGGCTCTAAGAACGCCATCCCAAATAAAGCCTTAATTGTCTCTTTAATTAATATAGAAGTAAATATTTAAAAACAAAATCTCCTTGAAAATGGCTGCACTGCCTGAGGAACTGTACGCAGAGACAGTCTGAGCTGCTACTGCAGTGGCAAATTTTAGGTTTCATTTGGGCTGGTAAGAAAAATAGCTTTTTAATGCAAATTTTTTAATTTTTGTACTACAAAATTGTTTTAAAAAGCACTGAGAAAAGCGCACCAAAAGAAACCTTAATTTTATAAATTTTCATTTAATTTATAACTAAATAATTTAGTAATGACTAAGATAACTGATGATAATTTCAGTAATGTTTCTTAATTAAGAAAATAATATTATAATTACCATAATCAAGCTAATTTAGTGATGACTTATACGATTGATAATAAAATGATTTTTTTTTTTATAATTTATGTATGAATAAAATGATTAATTCAATATAAAATATTTCATAAATTATCAGATATTATTCAATCATCTAACATTCTAGAAATTATGGCACTTATGTCACCTTAATCAACTAAAAATATGATCCTTGTGTTGATTTGATCTTTGAGGATTAATGATTGGGATTATACAAATGAGTTTGATAATGATAATAAATTTATAAGAAATATCAGAATCATTTATTACCATATAAATATTAGGGATACATAATTATTCATTTGCATGTAAATATTATAATATATTTTCTTTACTATTTATAGTTGAAATCTATAATTATTATTACTATAATATATCCTTATTATTTTGGATATTTTTTATTTATTGTGTTTTCTTTTATTGCTCTTTTATGTTGCTTATAAATAAGCATTATTGTATCAACATCTTATTCAATTCAATGAGAGTGTTACAATTCTTCTCTGATTTATCATTGTGCCTTAGACAATTGAAGAGCATAATGTGAGTTTGCGCCCAAGGCTTACCTTAATTTACATATTTAGTTTTGTAGATGTGTTTGTGTGCATGTGTATATTGCTCTCTAAGCCTTAGTTTCACGAGGTTTCGTTTGGGATAGTTTTCTTGTACAATTTTTTTTAAAAACAACGAAAAAAACTTTCTTGCTGCTTTCTTGTACAAAAATTTCTTAAAATCAATGAAAAAATCGTAGTCAAAAGCTGTCCCAAATGAAGCATTAGGCTTCGTTTGGGACGGCTTTCTTCTTGTTTACTAAAATAGCATTCTAGTTTTTTTTTTTGAATTTAAAATTTTTGTATTAGAAAGCGGTTTTAAATAGCAGTGCGAAAGCTGTCCCAAACGAAACCATAGTCTCATTGCTTCATTTTGAACTTTAAAATTCAATATAAAGCTTTAAAACAGTTCTATTTAGCTTCCACTATAATAAACTTATTAAGCAAGTTATCATCCACTTATACTCAACTTCCCATTATTGATTTAGGGTCTGTTTAAGATACTTTTCTTAACGCTTTATTTTTCAAAGCACAAGTTTGATTTTTGTTTGGCTACTATTTTTTGCTGTTTTCAAAAAATTTGTGTTAAGAAACTGCTTTCAAAAAGCTATTTTTTCATAACAGTTTTACAATCATATTTATAAAAAATTACAGCAGCGCTAAACAAATCCTTAATTTTTTTATTTTATATACTACTGATATTTTTTAATTTTAACAAATTCTATGCATCTGTAACAGTAGAGAACTTTCTCCTTCACAATATCATGCTTATGAATTACTGTTCTTATAGTGTCAGATTGCCAACATACTGCTAAAAATGGTGTTTTTGGATATTGAAATAAACGAAACTGTGATTATCCCTCCTAGCGAGCTCAATCCCAGTAGTCTTCTTCTTCGTAAAGCTATAATTTTACGCCTACTCAATTACATTTCCCGTAAAAAAGCATCAGAGGAACATGGCTACTATGTTGCAGTCCGCACTCTAAACACTGTAGGTGATGGCGAAGTTAACGGACTTACTGGTGACGTCCATTTCCCAGTATCCTTCAACTGCGCCACAACAAAGCCTTACAAGGGTGAGATCTTAATTGGCACCATTGACAGGGTTCGGAGGCAAGGCATATTTCTCATATCTGGGCCAATACAGAACATTTTTCTCTCAGAAAAGACGATGAAAGATTATCAATTCAACAATATAGAGGAGCCAGTATTTGTGAGTGCTAATGGGCAGTCAAAATTTGAGAAAGGCGGCAATGTGAGGTTCAGAATTCTTGGGGTTAAGTGGATTGAATCGGATAGAGAGTTTCAGGTACTGGGAACTATTGCAGGTGATTTTCTTGGGCCAGTTTGAGTTTAAAATGCTCAGTTGTTGCTCTGAACATTCTTATGGAAGCTTGATGTTCTTCGTTTTGTTTCATGTAAGGGATATATGTTTGTATTGTATCTGTGAGGGAACTCTTTTGAAGCAAAGGAAGATTTATGTGATTGATTGCTTTATTCTCCTAAAATTATGAAAATAAAGTGTTATAATGCATTAGAGGAGACTCAATGAATATTAACTAATAAATATTGCAATAAAAAAAAGCTCAGTTGTTGCACTTGTTATGACTTGGTTTGGTAAATGTAACTTACTAAATTTTTGCATTTAACATTTCTTGCATGAGTCTGTCAGTGTTTTGTGTGAGTGTGAGTGTTCAAATCTGTTTTGAAACGAGTCCCGCAGTCTATGCACATGATTAGAAAATATTGAATTTTCCCTTCGGAGCGTTGCAATGTTGTGACATTGAGTTCTCTATCGTTTTGCCAAAATAATTAAGTGTTGCAACGTTGCGGGGCTAGGTGTCGTAACATTAGGCCCAAACATTATAAAAATAATGTTTATGGATTCTTCCAAGATTTGATGTATGTACTGATTTATTGAGCTTTATGGATTTCTTCCTACTGTTTATCGATTCTTTCACCGAAGATTGTGAATTGTATCGATCATGCATTGATTACTGATTTTCGTATCTGCTGCATAGATTCACTGATCATGTGCAAGTGACTGTTATGTATTTGACTGATTGACATGCATATTATTTCCGCACCGTGCTTTGATTTCAGTTGTAGGTTTTTGATGACCTGTTGGGCTTTTTAAAGCTCATTATATGTGGTTAACAATTTCAGGTCTGAACAAGGGAGCAGGAAGAGATGATTGATCAAGATTGTTGACGAATCCTTTCACTATGGATGCCTGGGACGTCACAATAATTAACAAAATCAAGCTAAATTAGTGATGATTTATACGATTGATAATAAAATGATTTTTTGGATAATTTATATATGAATAAAATGTTTAATTCAACGTAAAATATTTCATAAATAATTAGATATTATTCAATCATCTAACATTCTAGAAATTCAGGCACTTATGTCACCTTAAACAACTAAAAATATGATCCCTCTGTTGATTTGATCTTTGAGGATTAATGATTGGGATTATACAAATGAGCTTGATAATGATAATGAATTTATAAGAAATATCAGAATCATTTATTGCCATATAAATATTAGAGATATCATAATTATTCATTAGCATGTAAATATTATAATATATTTTCTTTACTATTTATAGTTGAAATCTATAATTATTTTTACTATAATATATCCTTATTATTTTGGATATTTTTTATTTATTGTGTTTTCTTTTATTGCTCTTTTATGTTGCTTATAAATAAGCATTATTGTATCAACATCTTATTCAATTCAATGAGAGTGTTACAATTCTTCTCTGATTTATCATTGTGCCTTAGACAATTGAAGAGCATAATGTGAGTTTGTGCCCAATCTTTACTTAATTTACATATTTAGTTTTATATATTGATGTGTTTGTGTGCATGTGTATACTGCTTTCTAAGCCTTAGTTTCATAAGGCTTCGTTTGGGAAAACTTTCTTATTACTTTCTAGTATAATTTTTTTTTTAAATAACAATGAATTAAGCCTTAGGCTTCGTTTGTGACTGCTTTCTTCTTGCTTTCTAAAACAACTTTCAAGTAAAAAAAATTCTTGAATTTGAAATTTTTCACTAGAATGTTATTTTAGAAAGCAATACGAAAGTTGTCCCAAACGAAGCCTTAGTCTCATTGCTTCATTTTGTACTTTAGACTTCAATATAAAGCTTTAAAACAGTTCTATTTAGCTTCCACTATAATCAACTTATCAAGCAAGCTATGTCCCACTTATAATCAGCTTCCAATTCTTGATTTAGGGTCTGTTTAAGGTAATTTTCTTATTGTTTTGTTTTTCAGAGCACAACTTCGGTTTCTGTTTGGCTAATATTTTTTGTTGCTTTCAAAAAATTTATGTTAGGAAATTGCTTTAAAAAATTATTTTTTTCACAAAAGTTTTACAACCATCTTTATAAAAAATTACGGTTGTGCTAGCTTATGAATTACTATTCTTATGATGTCAGATTGTCGGCATACCGTTAAAAATGGTGTTTTTGGATATTGAAATAAACGAAACTGTGATTATCCCTCCTAGCCAGCTCAATCCCAGTAGTCTTCTTCTTCGTAAAGCTATAATTGAACGCCTGCTCAATTACATTTCTCGTAAAAAAGCATCAGAGGAACATGGCTACTATCTTGCAGTCAGCACTCTAAACACTATAGGAGATGGCGAAGTTAACCGACATACTG